GTCCTGGAGGAATATGTGTAGAAGTAAACACGAGGGGGGGATGGGGTTCCGTCGATTTGAGCATTTTAACCAAGCCCTGTTGGCTAAAATTGGTTGGCGTATCTTTTCTGAGCCTCAGTCCCTTTTAGCCCAAGTGTATAAAGGCAAGTACTTCCCCAATGGATCGTTTCTGCAAGCCAAAGCCCGATCTCGGCCGTCCTGGGGTTGGCAAAGCATTTTGTTTGGGCGCCAGCTGTTGGAAGAAGGCCTCCGGTGGCAGATTGGGAATGGTAGATCTGCCTCCCTCCTTCAGTCTAATTGGATACCGCGTGTTCCATTGGAAGACTTGCGCTATAACCCGCAGATTTTGCCAGTTGAAGGTGGCCCGAGGGTGGCTGAGGTTATTTGGCCAGGGGAGGGGAGGTGGAATGATACTAAACTGAATCAGTGGTTTGATCCGGTTACTTGTCGAGCAATTAAGGGAATCCCTCTGCCTCGGCAGAATATGGAGGATAAATTGATCTGGCATGGTACGAAGGACGGGGTTTTTACTGTCAAATCGGCTTACCACCTTGCGATGTCCCTGGATAGGAGGAAGGGTAGTTGGCAGTCCCTGGCAAGTTGGATGGATAAGGGGAGTTGGATCCGGGTGTGGGATGCTAAGATTCCCCCTAAGTTAAAGGTTTTTCTCTGGCAGATCTTTAGCCGGGCACTCCCAACCACTGAGGCACTTATTGAGAAGAAGGTCCCGGTGCACCCGCGTTGCCCGGTGTGTTGGGCTAGTTCGGAGACAATGGAGCATTTATTTCTCTATTGCCCGGTCGCTCGTGCACTGTGGGACTATTCGGGTTTGGAGTACCTGGGCGAAGGGGTGCCCCGGCAGACCTTTCCACTCTTTCTTAAGAAGTTGCTTGCCTTGGTTCACCATCCCGCGCTATTCATGGCAGTCGTTGCCGTCCTGTGGAGGATCTGGCGGTCTCGGAATTGGGTGGTCTTTGAGGGCAAACAGTTTGATATCCCCGCTTTAATGCGACAGTTCCACCAGCAAGTTGAGGAATGGATGAGTTTGCCGCCGGTAGGCAGTACGCAGGGTACGGTTATACCGGGGTCTGCTCTGCTACCTCCAGTGGGGGTTGGTAGAATGGTGTGTATGTGGGATGGTGCTACGAAGAGAGGGTCTCATTCAGCTGGAGGGATTGTACTTTTGACTCCCTCTCGTGAGATCCTGTTGATTAAAGGGGTGCACATTCCCGTGATCGATAACCCCATGGTGGTGGAGTTACTGGTGCTTCGTGCAGCGATTTTCTGGTGTCTAGAGCTTGGATTTACAAACGTTGTCTTTGAAGGTGATGCCAAGGTGATCATTGATAAGGTCAATCAGGGAGATGCTAGAGACACTCAGGCTGGAGCGGTTCTTGCTGAAGTGGTGCATTATTTTAGGGCCCAGTCAGAGTTTTTGGTTCGATTTGTAGGTCGGGGTAGCAATAGGGTAGCCCATTCGGTGGCTAGAAAGGCCCTTTCTTTGTCCCCGGCTATGAGTCCTGTCTTTGATTATCAGACCTGGCTGTTTTCCAGGGTGTAACTTTTCTTGGTCTGAATCAATATAATTATCTATCTTTTGTCAAAAAAAAAAGTAGAAAAGGGATAAATGGACACTACAGAACAAGAAGAAAACAAAGGGATGTGAGCGTGAATGTAAGATTGAAGGCTTCTTGTGGATAGAGAGTCATATAAATAAGATAGAGGGTTTGGTTAGGTGGGCTAGGGTTTGGTTCTATGTCGGGTTAATGGTTTGGGTTGGGTGTATGACATGGCAGGTCTTGACCATTTTTGGGCCAAAACGGTGTTGACTGGGCGCTCCCATTAACCCCATAAGCACATAACGGACTCCACTAACGGAGTTGGACGGAGAGTGACTAAACATGATATGTTTTAGTAATTAGAGTGACCAAATTTGATATTAAATTTTTCTAGTGACTAAACATGACAAAATTTAGTAATCACAGTGACCAAATATGACATTAACCCTCCACCAAGGATATGAATTGAAGCTCGTTGTGTACAGTTTAACACCCGATCAATCTCCCCAGCCAATCGAACAGATTCTAATCCTTTTGATCAACTCCCCGTGGATCAAAACCTCAGTATTTCCCCAATACTGGACCCAAGCTATCTCCCCGATGGCTTGAACCCTTTTCCTATCAAACTACCCACAACAGATAAGCTTTGCTCTCTTCGTAGTGTTGATTTCCCGGAAAAGTTCACCAATTCTATCTACCCAAGAGCCCCTTTTATAATCTTAACATTTTGACTGTCACACTTGAGCGTTCTTTCCTTGTTCACCAGATTCAGAATCACCTTAGGAATGATAAGCTTCTTTTCATCGAATGCTTCTGATTGGTGAATCGCCATCTAAGGAAAGCTCTCCATTCCAGCCTGTTGATGCTGAGTTGATCGCTTGCTGATGTGACCGTTGAATGGTCTTCCTTGATCGCCAAGCCATTTGAGAAGAAGAACCTAGTGTAACTTGTCGGGACTCAGAATTTATGCGAGATTATTTAGACGTTAGTCTTGATGTTTTTTCCTTTCTTCTACAACCTTTTGGCTTTTGCACAGCTTTACTATGCGAGAGCGGATCCAGTGACTAAGGGGGTGCTTAGTCACTTGACTAAGCCCCTCCCAGCCCTTAGATCTGGACACTTCAATCCAATGGTTAAAAAGTGGGAAGGGCTATTTAATTAATGACAGGGGTAGTTTGGGTATTATGGAAAATTACGAAGTATACAAACCAGATTTACAATCAGTACAAACCATACAAACATACGAACAGTACAAACTAGAGCGACAAAACATACAAACAGATTTACAAACATTACAAACGTATGAACTGTACAAACAATACAAACTAGACCGACAAACAATACAAACCATACAAAAAGAAAAAACAACCGGGTTGACTTTGGAGGCTTCATCCCTATATAGAGGGGCTCCTTCCCAAAGTCAACCCGGGTGTTTTTTAGACATACAAACAGTACGAACATGGTGGACAAAAATGACAAACTAGACCGACAATCCATACGAACGGGAAAAAACACCCGGGTTGACTTTGGAGGCTCCATCCCTATATAGAGGGGCTCCTTCCCAAAGTCAACCCGGGTGTTTTTTAGACATAAAAAACATTACAAACATGGTTGACAAAAATAACAAAGTTTACAAACATTACAAAATAACAAAGCGTACAAACATTACAAAATATGTCAACAAACATCACAAAGCGCTGTCGCCGGAAAATTCTTCTCCGGCGACGATGGTGGCCGGAAAAAAAAATTCCGACCAGAAAATCTCTCTCTCTCTCTCTCTCTCTGTGTGAATAATAGCATAATGGCGTACAGGAACTCTCTGGGTGGAAATAATGGCGCCCAATTGTCCAGGGAAAGGCCGCGCAATTATCGGACGGAGGCGGGAGGCGACGGGGACGGCCAGCCGGCCGGCGCTGGTTTTTTTTAATTTCTTTTATAATTATAAGTTAAAAATAAACATGCAATTACTACATTACCCTTCATTAAATTGGATTAATAAGAGCCCTTGGATTTTAATGAGGTGCAAGGGTGGAGATTCACTTAGCCATGTGACTAAGGGGACCCCCCTTAGTCCCCAGATCTTAGCCCTTACTATGCTAACTTCCTATTCATCCCGACTTTGCATAATCTGTATAACATTTAAGTTTTTCTTCTTATAATCTCAATCAACTCATTAGTCTTGAATGCTTATTATCAAATGCTGCCATCACAAAGTCAATCCCCACATTGAGCATAGTAAGTTAATCAAGCTGCCTGTGAAGGGCTTTGTCAACTCAATTTCTCACACACGCAACCATACCCAGGGGCGGAGACACAGTGTTAGAAGGGTGTGCCGTGGCACACCCTTGGGTCGGGGCTAGAACATTAAAAAATAGGGGTATTAGTTTATGCTATAGTTAGGATTTGAATATGGAACCCCCTTACTATTAGCTTTGACATCTTCCACTAAACAACAATTACTTACATGATACAATAATACGTTCTATTGCATATATATAATTTACCGTTTACAAATAATAAGTAAATTAAATTAAGAAACCTCATAATTGCATGCTTATTCAAGAAGTAAACGAATGTATTTTACAGACTTTTCAAAATATGAAAACCCGTCGTGGGTCACTATAAAAAATTGATAGTCATTTTAATTTTTTTAAATTGGCACCCCCTTACTCAAAATCCTGGCTACGCCACTGACCATACCAACACTAAACTTATTTTGCTAATGACAAGTTTTCTCCTAGTCGGCGCCTTTAAGATAAAGGGGTTGTTCGTTTACTCTGGTGTTAGGAATCGTAGAAAGAGGAGTGTGATGTAACATCGAAGAAGGAGAAGATGATTATGAGCGATCGAGGAAGAAGAAATGGAGGAGCTCAGTGAGTGGTTATCGGGGACAAAAAACAATGCGTGGAACGCTTAGAAGGAGAAGCAAAGCAGGCCGTTGCATGGTGGAAGATAGACCTGGCAATTGGGTCGGGTTGGGTAATTTCAGGTTGGGAATCTCGGGTTACGGGTCTTCACGGGTCGGGTCATGTTGGGTTTGCTGATTTCGGGTCAAATATTGACCCAACCCATCGGGTTTCGGGTCGAGTTTTGGGTCATTTCGGGTTATGAGCGTTCTCAGAAACAATATCAAATAAGCTTCATAAATTTTTAAAGAACACAATTTTTTTACATGTGTGACAATAGTTTTCCTAGCACATGTTAATTAACAAATGGTCAACTCCTTCGATTCAGCATTCGATATGATTCTCAAAACAGAGCTATTGACATGACGTAACATTAATTTAAAATTGAAATAAAATATCCGTACACATAGCTTATCCATTTCCTATATGACTCATTATACTAAAGTTATTGCATATCAGAATTAGTCCATTATATTATATCATTTGTGAATATCAAAAGGTAGAGGGACAGGTGGATTATAGGGGTTGGGGTTGTGGGAAATTCTGTTAGCTTGCTTTGTTAGAGAGGTGAGAGAGAAAGGAGCAAACGATTTCACCAATATAAGACAAACATTCTCCTTCAGATCTGCAAATTGCAATACTTAGCTAAACCTTCTAGGAGAAAAGCAGACGCCAAGAAGGTCCTCTCTGCCGGTGTTCATCGCAACTTTTGGAGACAGGGAAGCAGCTCCGCATACTCATCAAGTAGGTATTTCTAGCTATTTTCTTTTTGTTTCTTCAACAGTTCATCTGCTTACTGCATTTTCTATAGTAGTGTCGTCTTCGTCCTGTTTTGCTTCTTCCTTCCTGTTGCGTGATTCTTAGTTAGCACTGGAACTAGAAAGTGTTTGTGCCTAGAAAGTACTAGGCGGTTATGGGGCTCTGATCTGGACTCCTTCGTCTGATCTCCTCGAGAGTGGAAGAACCTGTGAGGCGGGGGGCGGCCCCCGGGATCTACGCTCCGACGCCCAAGTTAGTACGATATAGGAGGGTATATGGTATGTAGAGAGAGAGAGAGAGTTTAGAGAGAGACCTTAGGGTTAGAGTGTAGGAAGGGAAGAGAGGATCCTTGGCTTGGAGGCTTTGGCCTCCTTATATAGGGCTTGGGACCTCCTTAAGTGGGCTTGGGCTTCCTTGAGTGGGCTTGGGCCCAGGACGCCTTGCGGTGGGCTTGGGCCCGTTTATAGTTGTGTAGGCATATTAATCCATATCCCAACAATTGCCCCTTTACTTCTTGTATTTTGTAAGAATGGAAGGAGTAACATAATGCGTTAATCGTGTATTAATTTGCCTTACTTGCGAATCCGGATAATGCGGTTTGCCCCTGGTGCGAGTTGCGCGATCATTTCCTTTGCCCCTTGCTTAGCTCTCAATGTCTTGAAGCAAAGCTCTCAAGTCGTTAAGAGTTCCTTCGCTAGTCCATTGTTGTTAACGCTAGTAGACCATAATTGCGACCTAGGTAGGGTGGCCCCCACGGCTTGAGAGTTTTAACTCAAGACGCTCTTGTTGTTAGCGCCTTGCTCCTTTGGCTTCCAGTGAAGAGCATTACTCCTACGCTTCCTGGGAAACGCATTACTCCTTTGACCTCCAGGGAAGCGCATTGCTCCTTCGCTTCCTGGAAAGCGCATTGCTCCTCGGCTTCCTGGGAAGCGCGTCGCTCCTCGGCTTCCTGGGAAGCGCGTCGCTCCTCGCTCCTCGGCTTCGTGGGAAGTGCATTGCTCCCTGGCTTCCTGGGAAGCGCGTCGCTCCTCGGCTTCCTCGGAAGTGCATTGCTCCCTGGGAAGCTCGTCGCTCCTCGCTCCTCGGCTTCCTGTGAAGCGCGTCGCTCCTCGCTCCTCGGCTTTGTGGGAAGCGCGTCGCTCCTCGCTCCTCGGCCTCCTGGGAAGCGCGTCGCTCCTCGCTCCTCGGCTTCCTGGGAAGCGCGTCGCTCCTCGCTCCTCGGCTTCCTGGGAAGCGCGTCGCTCCTCGCTCCTCGGCTTTCTGTGAAGCGCGTCGCTCCTCGCTCCTCGGCTTTCTGTGAAGCGCGTCGCTCCTCGCTCCTCGGCTTCCTGGGAAGCGCCTCGCTCCTCGCTCCTCGGCTTCCTGGGAAGCTCGTCGCTCCTCGGCTTTCTGTGAAGCGCGTCGCTCCTCGCTCCTCAGCTTCCTTTGAAGCGGGTCGCTCCTCGCTCCTCGGCTTCCTGGGAAGCGTCCCACTCCTCGGCTTCCTGGGAAGCACATTGCTTCTCGGCTTCCCGGGAAGCACATTAGTCCTTGGCTTTCGGGGAAGCGCATTGTACTATCGGCTTCCTGTGAAGCGCTCCCTAGAGGAGGCATCGCTCGGAGGCGGGAAGCACCGCTCGGAGGCGGGAAGCATTCCTCGGGGGGAGCCTCGCTCTGAGGCGGTTTACGAGCCTCGCCCGGTGGCGGAAGGCATGAATCCCGATGGGCGCATCGCTCGGAGGCGATTTTTTATCCTTGCCCGGAGGCAGGAGGCATGAATCAATCCTCGATGGGTACATCGCTCGGAGGCGGTTTTTTAGCCTTGCCCGGAGGCAGAAGGCATGAATCAATCCCCCATGGGTACATCGCTCAGAGGCGGTTTTTAGCCTTGCCCGGAGGCAGAAGGAATGAATCAATCCCCCAAGGAATATCGCTCGGAGGCGGTAAGCATTCTCCGGAGAGAGCCTCGCTTGGAGGCGGGAGTCTTCGAGCCTAACCCGGAGGTTGGAGGCATGAGTCTTTCCCGGAGGGCGCATCGCTCGGAGGCGGGAAGCATTCTCCGGAGAGAGCATCGCTCGGAGGCGGGAATCTTCGAGCCTAGCCCGGAGGCTGTAGGCGTGAGTCTTCGAGTATTCCGGAAGGATGCAAGTGGCTAGTGCCCAATATATTTAAAGCATAAATATACCCTAGCATGTTGCGGAAAGCGCCTAGAATAATAATAGTGAACCGCTTTGCATGGCTTGGTATATGTCTATATGATATATATTTGTAAAGTTGACTTAGCTTGAGAGAAGTTGGCAAGCGGTTGAATATTGGCTGTTGCGTCCATGATTAGCAAAGCGCTCTTGTGGCATACTGGTTGGCGTGTTTGCATGTCAAAGGAAGGTCGCTGGTTCGAAGCATGGCAGAGACGACTTTCTTCTTTCATTTTTTAATGAGGCTTCAGTGTTGACGACTAAGGGCGTGTGCCGCTTAAGCTTGGGCCGAGCAGGGGATGCAGTCCATTTGACGCTGCTATGATGCGGGCTTGCATGTTGAAGCAGAGGAGGCGGTCCAAATTTCAAATTCGAGGCCGGCTTGCAGATTTGAAGTGTAGCTCATCGGGTCCTTGGCGGTCTGCTTTCCCATTCTAGACGAGGTGGGTTGGCATTGTGCGGTTGTCAGGAATGGGAGGAGAGCCTTTCACCTTTGTCTGATCTCTTCTCCGTGAGCGGTTAAATATTAATTGTTGCCTTTGTAATTAACAAAGTTACCTTGTATTATACTGGTTGAAGCGCTTGCCGGGTGAAAGTGAGATCCTTGGTTCGATGCTTGATGTGGGCGGTTTCTTCTTTCTTTTTTAATGAGGCTAGATGGCTGAGCGTGGGCCGCTGAAGCTTGGGCCGAGCTTGAAACTGCGAGAGAGGGTCTTGGCGGTTCTGGCCTGTTGTAATGGTGGACGGTCTTTGCATCTAGGAAGATGGGCCGAAAGTGGTGAGGCAGGACGTGGGCCGCGCTGGATGTGGTGCGGATGCGGTCTTGGGCTTCTTCAGAATTAGGTAGTTGATAAATATTTGCTGCTACAATGTTGAATCGTAAAGATGTCCTTTACGCTGCTGGTTGGACGCGTTGTTTCTGACGAAGAGGTCGGCGGTTCGACTCCATCCCCGTGCGTTTTGCTTTTAGCTAAGCATGTGCATATACTTTGAGACCGTAGCGGTCCGAGACCGGTGGGTTGAAATTGCGGGCCGCTGAGAGCGTGACGGGCTGAGTCTGGCGGGCTGGAATTTCGGGCCGCGTCCCATGATGGGAGAGGCACCGGATGGTGAGTGTCTCCTTTGCGGAAATGGGCTGAAGGGCGATCCTCGCCTGTTGGGCCTGTGTTCTTGGCGGCCCGAACTTTGAAGGTGGCATGGTCTGGTGTGGTAGGCGGGCCTTGGGCTGTATGGAGCTAGCTGCAGGAGTGGACCCTGAGCCTGTTTGGCGGTCAAGGTTAGTGAAATGATCACTTTGCTGGCTGCCGCGATGCGGCTCTTCTCTTCCAGCCTCACCTCTTCCATTCTTCTTCCGCCGGCGCCATAGAGATGCACGGGAGCCGTTCCTTCCTTTTTCGCCAGCCGTGGTTATGCGGCTATTTCGGCTTCGCAATTTGAGGCGCTTCCAACCTGTCATTCTCGATAACTCCGCCTGCCTGCCTCGGTAACTTCGTCGGTCAGTCTTTCATGACAGAGGGAGAAAAGTAGCTCCGATATAGGTTTTTCTTCTTCTCGATTTGTGGCCCCGTCAACTGTAGATGAGCAGTAGGATGGAGACAGCGACGATTTTGACCACTCTGCCTGAGCTCCGGCGCCGCTTGTAACTCCGGTGGCCGGAACATGAAAATCATTCTTCTTAGATAGGATTCGCTTCTCCTTTATTGGCGTTTTCCCTCCTAAGACCCTCCAATCAAGATGCTTCGATTTTCCTTTCAGTTGTACTTTGTAGATTGAGTTGGTGGTTGCGACATGGTCTCTCTGCCCGCTATTTTTTTTTTTTTTTTTCTTTTCTTCTTCTTCTTCTTCTTTCTTCTTGTGGGTTTTCAGATCTTCCTAGTGGGGGTGAGTAGATGTTGTCTTTCTTCGAGATCTTGGAATGGTGGATTAGAGTAGTTCCGGTTGTTGTCGCGAACTGAATGACGAAGATAGCGAAAACAGCGCGGCGCCAGTAGGGCGACGACTGGTGCCTCGGCGAGATGTGTCGGTGGGGACGCGCAGCCCGGAAAATCAGCGGTGGCTGTGGTTTGCAGGTTGAGCTGGCGATGATGACCAACAAGTGTTGTGCTGCTGTCGCTGCTTGGAGAGAGCCGAGCCATTGAAGCTCGCTTAGGGGGAATTAGATGGTTGATGATGTTCTTCGTGAGTGAGAAGTGGGGTTTCTCTCTTCTTTTTCTTTGATTTTTCTTCCGTTCTTGGCGGGACTTGGTCTGATTTTGCAAAAATCATTGTTGCCTGCAGTTGGTAGAGGAAGAACAGATTTCCTCCCTCCCTCCGAAATCAAACGATAGAGTTGTCAATCATAGCCCCACGGTGGGCGCCAAATTGTTTGTGCCTAGAAAGTACTAGGCGGTTATGGGGCTCTGATCTGGACTCCTTCGTCTGATCTCCTCGAGAGTGGAAGAACCTGTGAGGCGGGGGGCGGCCCCCGGGATCTACGCTCCGACGCCCAAGTTAGTACGATATAGGAGGGTATATGGTATGTAGAGAGAGAGAGAGAGTTTAGAGAGAGACCTTAGGGTTAGAGTGTAGGAAGGGAAGAGAGGATCCTTGGCTTGGAGGCTTTGGCCTCCTTATATAGGGCTTGGGACCTCCTTAAGTGGGCTTGGGCTTCCTTGAGTGGGCTTGGGCCCAGGACGCCTTGCGGTGGGCTTGGGCCCGTTTATAGTTGTGTAGGCATATTAATCCATATCCCAACAGAAAGAATACTACAACTCTCGATTAATTACTTCAATTTCCGTTTTGCATCCTCTTTCTAACTTTGCCAAACTTCCCTCTTCCAAAAAGTTAGCACGGTAAGCTTTAAAGGGGTTTTCGGCCATCGATTTTTGCTTGTTGCTGCTGCCTGCTGTTTGTGTTTCTTAGTCGAATTTGTGTTTCTTTTCGGCCAGCGATGTCGGGCTGGAGTAAGATCCACGAAAAGCTTCCTCGATTCGTGAAAGACACGCTGGATGGCCGCTATCGCGAGGTCCTGATTGACGGCTCGTTAGTGCTGACCTACAGTGGTTTTGTCACTCAGCTCTTCAAAGGCGATTCGGCAACGAAGGAGGATCTTGCTGTAGGTGGAGGTCGAGCGCGAGACCTAGAGAAAGATCGGGTTCTTCGATTCTGCAAGGAGGAATCCTAAAAGAATTCTTGAGTTAATTGAAATGGATGTGAAACTCGAATGCATGAAACCAAGAATGTAAATCTAAAAAATCAACCGAAAACAGATAATGGGCCTGTTTATTATGAATTAAGTTCTCGGCCCAGACGAATTATTTTGTGAGCCCAATTCTTTGATTTCAGACTTAACGCAGCAGCGAAGCTGAGAAGGCTTCTTCCTTCCTGACTCTGCTCCTGTTCGTCTTCCCTGTGTCAATCACTCTTCAGCAAGCAGCAAAACAATTAAGCAAATCAGAAAACTGAAAGGAATGAACACACAGGCAATTTTTACGTGGTATCCGGGACAGGGAGAATAAGTATCCCTGTTCCGACTAATCCACGGTTGAAGGTTCTCTTCTTGAGACCTTCAACGTTTCACTACTGATTTGGTTCTTCCAAGTTCTCTGTTACAACGACACTTATAACAAAGAACTCTCAGCCTAAGCTGGCAATTCTCCCTAACCAGGCTGTATCCCTGCTCAGAACTCGAGACTCAATACACCTAGTTAGCTAAGCAACCACTCGGATTAACTCTCTTTTTCTTAACAAGATCACTAGCAAATTCACAGCCCTTTCTTTCTTGTTTGGCTTGAAAAAGGTACAGCACAGCTCCAGCCTTTGAGTCTCCTTATACTCTGGCTTCCCAACGTCTCTTTGATGGACTTCCATTCCTGGCTTGTGAGCAGAAAAGGTAGGTTGTGCTAATTTGATTTCTTTTCAAATCTCTTCGAATAACTTGACCAGAGACATTAACAAGCTTTCCGAAATTCATTCATTTGCCCGTTGAGTTGCTTGAGCAGAGGAATATGTGAGCTTCCTTCAACACTTGCCTCAGCTGTGGAGAAAATCACCGACAAGGTCTCCGACGAGAGGTAGATTCTCAATCGCAATAACCTGCTTTAGTGGTTTGCTTGTTCATTTAGTGGTTTGCTTGTTCATCTGGTGTGTGTTCATTTTGGGTGCTTGTTGTGTCTTGATGGGCTGCTTGTTTGTCCTTGTTTAATGGCTTCTAATGTGTGTTTCTGCTTTCAGCGGGAGTTTACAGACTGAGATAAAGGAAGTGAAGGTGTGCGCTCGCGAGCTGAAGGTGAACGCTCAGGATCTGAAGGTGCAGATCAATGAAATACAGACGTGGGCTAAGAAGGTCGAGCTGGAGAGGACCAAGAGCGACCTGAACGAGGAGACAAGCCAGATTGGCCATGTGAAGTAGAGTGGCAACGATCAGCTGAAAGAGGGTGGTAACAATGGAGATTAATGAGGGATTTCACGTGGCAAAGCTTCTGTTCGTCTTGGATTGTGTCATGGTATTGGATGTTACTAGATGCTGCTTTTTTTGGGTTGGTTATGGTGGAGATTGCAAATGTTTTTAAGCTGAAGTCATTCAAGTTCGTCTCCATTTGACTTCAGCTTAAAAACATTTGCAATCTCCATCATAACCAACCCCAAAAAAGCAGTATCTAGTAACATCCAATACCATGACACAATCCAAGACGAACAGAAGCTTTGCCACGTGAAATCCCTCATTAATCTCCATTGTTACCACCCTCTTTCAGCTGATCGTTGCCACTCTCCTTCACCTGGCCAATCTGGTTGGTCTCCTCGTTCAGGTCGCTCTTGGTCCTCTCCAGCTCGACCTTCTTAGCCCACGTCTATATTTCATTGATCTGCACCTTTAGATCCTGAGCATTCACCTTCAGCTCGCGAGCGCACACCTTCACTTCCTTTATCTCAGTCTGTAAACTCCCGCTGAAAGCAGAAACACATATTAGAAGCCATTAAACAAGGACAAACAAGCAGCCCATCAAGACACAACAAGCACCCAAATGAACACACACCAGATGAAGAAGCAAACCACTAAATGAACAAGCAAACCACTAAAGCAGGTTATTGCGATTGAGAATCTACCTCTCGTCGGAGACCTTGTCGGTGATTTTCTCCACAGCCGAGGCAAGATCCTCCTTCGTTGCCGAATCGCCTTTGAAGAGCTGAGTGACAAAACCACTGTAGGTCAGCACTAACAAGCCGTCAATCAGGACCTCGCGATAGCTGCCATCCAGCATGTCTTCCACGAATCGAGGAAGCTTTTCGCGGATCTTACTCCAGCCCGACATCGCTGGCCGAAAAGAAACACAAATTCGACTAAGAAACACAAACAGCAGGCAGCAACAACAAGCAAAAATCGATGGCCGAAAACCCCTTTAAAGCTTACCGTGCTAACTTTTTGGAAGAGGGAAGTTTGGCAAAGTTAGAAAGAGGATGCAAAACGGAAATTGAAGTAATTAATAGAGAGTTGTAGTATTCTTTCTAGTTCCAGTGCTAACTAAGAATCACGCAACAGGAAGGAAGAAGCAAAACAGGACGAAGACGACACTACTATCGAAAATGCAGTAAGCAGATAAACTGTTGAAGAAACAAAAAGAAAATAGCTAGAAATACCTAGTTGATGAGTATGCTCCGCTCACAAAGTCCACCGAAATAAGCCGTGTCCAGGAATCTCATCTTCAACCCAAGGTCCTTGACATACTCATCTTTCTTGATAAAATTCAGCACATCTTGATCATGGTAAGTGTCACGCGACGAGTGCCAGAACTTGTATAACTCTTATGGAACGATTATTAGCCTTCACATAACTAAACCCTCCATTGACTATGTTTCCTAAACCAACACTATCCCCTGAATAGTGATCACACGCAATCTGGAAGTCCGCATCTGGATAAAACCGTGGAAATGGATCCCTAAACCACATTATATCTGTATCCTGGATGTTGAAAGCATTCATTACACACAATTGGCTTAGCTACAGAGAATTATGAACAGAAATGGAGGGAGCCGGATGCGAATGATTTACCGTGAAGACGAAATTGTAACCCAATTCAAGCACGGTGTGCAGGAAGTCGATCCTTCTCCACATCCTTCTACAGTGAGCCAGTGCTTGTTCTTTATTGTTGAGAAAAAGCTAAGGCAAAAGCTAGAGAATGAAACAGGGAGAAGAAAGGAACCTGTGAAGATAAAAGCAGTAACGAAGCCGGCAAAAGTATGCAATCCAGAAGCTTGTGCACCATGTCTTCAAAATACACCAAATCCTGCTGAAGCGGCCTTTTGTCAAGGTTAAGGGACAGGGTAGCAGAACAGCCTTCCAGTAGTTTGGCGACCTAACGCCACATTATCAGCTAAGAAAATAATGAAGTAGAGTGAACTGTAATCATGGCAGTAGTCAACTCACGAACCATTTCAGGAATACACATTCAGCTCTGGAGATTCAATCATATTCACTTTTGTGACTTGCCAATGAAGTGCTTTGCTTCTTGGAGCACATTGAATCCAGCACTTGCGTAAATGCTTTGCAGCAAGAATTGCAAGTGGGCTATATGATGACAAATACAATGGAGCAAGAATGCACAGTCAGTCAATTGCAAGTTTGGTTCAGCTTCACGAAGTTACAGTGGGCAGTATGAAACGGACATCAACAAATAAAAAGAGCAGAAAAATGAGAGTAAGACTTACTGCAAAGTACTTCGGAAGTTGTTGATCCAGGAAAAGCACAATGGGCGAGTAAGTCAGTCATCTGACAACCACACTTTCATGTATCAATCGGTTCTTTTCCTGAAGGACCTAATCAGTATCCATTCTATTCAAGTGTTTTTCAGTGTCTTGAATCTTGATGTGGAGAATAAGACCCATCTCAGACTTTAGGAAGAACACAGTCGTAACTGCCATCTATCAGACCCTTCTTCGCCAAATCATTTTGCAATTCAATCGCTTCGGCAGTAAGGCCTTGCTCATAATACTTCTTTAGTAGGCTATCACAAAGCATCCGGTCTGGAAAAATGTCATTATCAATCATTTCAGTAAGAAATATCCTAGCTTGCTGTAGATGGCCACATCTAGCACAACCTGAAACCAACGAAGTGTAGGCATGAAGATCAAGCTGCAAACCTAGCTCGACCATCTTGTTTCTTGTATTTAATGCTTCTTGCAAGCTACCATGCTTCAGATACCCATCTATTAGAGTAGTGTATGCTGTCTTATCGGGAATCATATGTTTCTCCTGCATTTCATTAAACAAAGTCACAGATGCTTCTATGAAATTATTTTTACAAAGACCGTCCATCAAGGCAGTGTAGACTGCTACATTAGGTTGCAGACCGTACTCGGGCATTGTAGTAAAGTAATCAATTGCCTCTTGAACCATACCCTTCTTGCACAGCCCGTCAATTAATACACAAAAAGTTACAACTGTAACCTCAACACCCGAGTCCCACATTTCCCGCACCAGATTGAGTGCCTCCGCGGTCATTCCAGCTTTGAAATAAGCATCAACGAGTGTTGTGTATATGACAGGGTTTGCACTTATACCTCTCTGTTTCATCTCAAGCATAACAAGCTTGCATTCTTCAAACTTCCTTTCAGTGCAAAGCCCCCAGATGATGGTCCCATAAAGCATCAAATCAGGCTGAAATCCTTTCATCTTTATTTGCTTCAAAAATTCAATATAATCTTCCTTGCTCTTAACTTTAATATATCCATGAGCAAGAGCAGTGTAAGTTTTCAGGTTAGGAGCTACTGCAGCTTTCAGCATCCCAGTGATAAGTTCTTCTGCTTCTGTAATCCTCCCTCCTTTACAAAGGCCATCTAATAAAGCTGTGTATGTAACAATGTTCAATTCAGAACTTATTGTCCAGAGCATCTCGTTGGCCAGCTTCAATGCTTCATTCAAATTTCCAGCTTTACAATTTGCATCAATAAGAGAAGTATAAGTGTACTCATTGGGAGAATAACCGAGGCGTTTCATGTCTATAAAAAATTTAATGGCCTGTTGCATCATTCCTTCCTTGCACAATGCATCAACCAGTGTGCTGTAAGTTATGACATTAGGTCTGACTCCATTATGCTTCATCTCAGAGAAAAACCGAAAAGCTCTAGCCATCCTATTGAATTTACAAAAACAATTAATCAATGCATTGTAGGTCACTACATCAGGTTCACAACCTGCTTGCTCCATTTCCTTAAATAATCCCACTGAATTCTCCAAAAAGCCTAATTTCCCATATCCATCAATAAGCGAATTGTAAGTTACAACATCCGGCATCAAACCCTTGTGCTTCATTTCCTCAAACAAACTTTTAGCAGCTTCAGTATCCCCTTCTTTGCACATATGGTCTATCATGATGTTGTAAGTAAACACAGAGGGAGAAATTCCAGCACTAACCATATTCCGAAAGAAGTTCCTTATAGCACCATCCTCCTTCTTCCCCTCCTTTGCTAGCCTATGCAGAAGTGCATTGCACGATCGTGCTTTAGGCAACACTCTACAACTTCTCATCCTCGAAAAGCAATGATAAGCTTTATCAAGCATCCCTAGTTCTATATACACATTAAAAAGCGCATCAAAAACTCCACACCCTGAGACACAAACATTCCTCGACGACCACAAAACTTCAAACACATCAAAACCTGGCAAACTCCTGCCTGCTAAGATCAACTCCTTAAGATTGCCACTGGCATCGAAATACATTCTACCGTAGAACAAAATGTGCACCAACAAACAGTAGGATTCCGTTGTGTGGCGAAACCCAATGAGGGTTTTCGCCCAGCTGAAGAATTTCAATGCCAATCGCGGGTCATGCCGTAACACCAACAGAACCCTGGAAACCCATAACGGAGCCAAAGAGGAAGAAGAGCCAACGAGGCCTACGATTCTGGGATCATCCCAACAGCCTTGCTGAACAATTTTACTTATTGAATCCCTGTCCAGCTCTCCGATGACAACATCAGAGTTTGTAGAGATTGTCCTAGTGGCAAACGGCAATCTTAGGATACAGAGAAACCCAGTGACCCAATTACACGGGCAGGAGATTGAAGACACATTGGGCGAATGAGGGCCTACAAAACGAATATGATTGTAGCTGTTGAGAAGCAGAGGGTGAGAGGTGAACCAGGGAGGGTCGCTGCTCCGAAGGCGGACGTGGAATAGACTGCGGAGCGAAAATAGCATTGCTAAGAGGAGAAGAGTGAGAAGCGCCCGGAAGACGAAGAGGTTCATTTGAAGGTATCTAGAGAGCGAGGGGAAGCTTCATCTGGTGTTTCTGTAGTAACCAACGAGCCGAAGGGATTGTGAAGAATAGCAGTAGTAGGGTTTAAGCAGGTAGCCATGGTGTGACGATGATGCGCTGGCTCGTTCGCGGGACGAAGTAAGAGAAGCGGAAGAAGATCTGAGATTTGGGTGGAGGAGCAGCAGAAAAACTGCAGTCCTCTCTTTAGGGTTTTCTATTTTATATTGGTGCACAACGGCTAATACACAGTATTAACGGTCATACGAAATCCATTAACCAAAGCTTAACACGTGCCAGGTTTGGATTCGTTATTAACCAACAGACTGCACTAAACAATCTCAAAGAATAAAGAACAAAACGGCAGCGCATATGAAAGTTCGATGTCAGTTCCAAACTTCCATTCTTCTCCATTTTAGTCCTTCGTTCTGGTGTTGAGACTGAATCCTTGCCTGATCAGGATTGCAGTGCAGAACTGTAGTGGCTGCTGTCCTTCTTCTGTCAGCTCCTTGCTGACCCTCCAATAGGCCCCCACAAGATGGCGAGTAAACATCAATAACTCCCATCTTGCCAAGCAACTCCAGCAGCCTGTACTTGCTGACTCCCTTAGTAAAAATGTCAGCAAGTTGATCTGAAGTGTGCAAATGACACAGCCTAATCATGCCAGTCTTAACCCTCTCTCTAGTAACATGCATATCTATCTCGATATGTTTTGTTCTCTCATGAAAAACAGGGTTTTCAGCAATATGAATTGCTGACCTGTTGTCACAGTAGACAGTAATAGGAGTTTTCACTTGAACTGCCAACTCTGATAACAATCCCTTCAACCATTGAATTTCACAGACCAAATGAGCCAAAGCTCTATATTCGGCTTCAGAAGAAGACCTTGACACAGTGGTCTGCTTCTTGCTTTTCCAGGTAAGTAATGAATTTCCAAATTAAGTGCAAAAACCTGTTATTGATCTCCTGGTATCTGGGCATGCTGCCCAGTCTGAATCACTGTAACCAGTGATGGTGAAGTCTGTGTTGCTGCTGAACAGGATCCCTTGCCCCTGGAGATTTTTTCAGGTATCTTAGAACCCTTTGTGCTGCTTGCATATGTGTATCAAGAGGATTACGCTGAAATTGACTTAGCTGCTGCACTGTGTAACATATGTCTGGTCTGGTTATGGTTAAGTAATGTAATCTTCCAATCAGTCTCTTATAGCTCCTTGGATCATCAATAGGAGTCCCCTCTCTTGAGCTCAGCCTCACCTTCATATCAATAGGAGTCAATGTCTCCTTTGCATCCTCATAACCAGTGTCCCCAAGCAATTCAGTGCAGTACTTTCTCTGATTAACAACAATTCCATCAGCATTCCTCACAATCTCAAGTCCTAGGAAGTACTTCAAAGTCCCCAGATCCTTGATTTTGAAACTTCTTTTCAAATAAAGCTTCACCAGTTCAAGGTCATCAAGCTTTTCTCCTGCCAAAATGATGTCATCTACATATACAAGTAGAATAACCATCCTGCCTTGTACCTTCTTTGTAAACATGGAGTAATCTGAAGATGACTGAGAAAAACCATTCTTCAGTAGTGAAGAGGTCAGTTTGGCAAACCACTGCCTACTGGCCTGTTTCAATCCATACAAGGATTTCCTAAGCCTGCAGACCTTACCTTCACTTCCCTCCAATCCAGGGGGTGGAGTCATATAGACTTCCTCCTCCAAGTCTCCATGCAAGAATGCATTGGAGACATCCATTTGATGTAAACACCAGTTCCTAGCTGCTGCAACAGCTAACAGTGTCTTAACTGTATTGATTTTAGCAACAGGTGAAAAAGTGTCAAGGAAGTCAATGCCATAGATCTGAGTAAATCCTTTAGCAACTAACCTTGCTTTATACCTTTCAACAGATCCATCAGGTTTAAGCTTGGTTTTGAACACCCACTTGCAGCCAATAGTTCTCTTCCCTGATGGCAGTGTCACCAGATCCCAAGTGTGGTTTTCAGTCAAGGCATTTAACTCCTCTTCCATAGCTTTAACCCAATGGTGCTCCTTAGCTGCTTCCTTGTATGACTGAGGATCCATAAAAGCAACTAGGCTCATTGCATACCTCTTTTGTTGAGGTGTAAATTGATGATAAGAAACATAATTAGTCATGCAATATTGACTAATCTGATTAATGGTTGTGACATAGTCCTTATGCCAAACAGGTGGCTTTCTGTTTCTAGGGGGAAGATCATTGTCATCCAGTTCATCTCCTGGTGGCAATTCATCATCAGATTCCTCCTGATAGTCAGGCTCAGCATCAGCAAAGTCTTCATCTGTTGAGTGGTCTTCCTCTACTGGTGTGTGATGAGATGAAGATTGAGGACTGAAATCAGTGCCTAATGAGGTCTGTGGAGAAGGAAATCCATCAACTGAGGTTGATGGAATAGGGGCAGGTGGAACAGATGAAGTAGGTTGGCCCCCATGAGCCTGGACATCAGGAAAGGTGACTGTAGGCAAGTCAGGGAAGACTGGTGTGTCATCTGAATCATCAACCAGCCCATAAAAAGGGAAAATATCTTCATAAAATGTCACATCCCTGGACATAAACACTTCATGGGAAGTCAGATCAAAGAGTTTATACCCTTTGATGCCAAAGGGATATCCCAGGAACAGACATTGTCTTGCTCTGGGCTGAAACTTAGTTCTACCACTGCTCAAGGTAGAAGCATAGGCTAAGCAACCAAAAACCTTCAAGTGATCAAGAGAAGGAGGCTGTTTGTATAGTAATTCAAAAGGGCTTTTATTATCAAGGATAGGGGTAGGCAACCTATTAATCAGATGCACTGCATGAAGTATGCAATCACTCCAAAACTGTAAAGGGATACCAGATTGAAACATTAAAGCCCTTGCTACATTCAATATATGCTGATGTTTCCTTTCAACTCTCCCATTCTGTTCTGGGGTGGCTACACAGGACATTTGGTGCTTTATTCCTTGTTCTTCATAGAATTCAGTCATATGAAACTCCCTACCTTGATCACTTCTGATGGTTTTTACAGATTTAGAAAACTGATTCTTCACCATGACACAGAAATTCTGCAGAAAAGACCTGGTTTCTGATTTGTGTTTCATAAGAATAGTCCACACAGCACGAGAATGATCATCAACCACAGTGAGAAAATAAGAAAAACCATCATATGATTCAACTGCCAAAGGCCCCCATATGTCCACATGGATCAAATCAAAGACATCATTTGCTCTATGTTCACTCAAAGTAAAAGGCAATCTCTTGTGTTTAGAAAAATGACAAACATCACAATGTTTCACTGTCTCATGTCTAACTATGGGATTACAAAGCTTTAATAACTGTATCTTCTTGGAACTAGGATGCCCTAAACGCCAGTGCCAAAGGTTAATCTTCTGAGGTTGGAAATTGTAGACTGAAGCTACTGAAGGTGTGATTTCACTCTCTGAACTGGACATTAGATGGTATAGACCCCTACTTTGCTTTGCCAAGCCAATCATCCTGTTGGTTACTAGGTCCTGGACAACACAAGAGTCAGATTGAAAGGTGAGGGAAATTGGTAAATCATGTGTCAATCTACTAACTGACACAAGATTGAAAGTAAAACTGGGAATTAACAAAACATTGTTCAACAGGATTCCTGATGGCAACCTAACTGATCCAATGTGTGTGACTGAGACTTTGGTACTATTTGGTAAGTAAACTGACACTCCCTGTAATGGTTTATATGTGGTAAAGAAATTCTTAGAGCAAATGATATGGTCTGAGGCACCAGTGTCTAAAATCCATGTTGGAACAAGTGAGGCCGAATAACAATGAACATATGAGGTTAGAACATATTTACCAGCTGAATTTGGAAAATGTGGCATCTCCTGTGCTGCTGAAAAGGCTGCATGACGAATGTTTGGTGAGTGTGGTGGTGATGGAGAGGGTGAAGGACTGGTAGTCACTCCTTGAAGCAAGAGTCTGAGTCGATTCATTTCATCACCAGTCAACTGAAGGTTCACAATGTTGGCTGAGTTGTTGCCACTTCCTCCAGAGTTAACACTTCCACTTCCACTGCTTGATTGAGTTTCAAGCACACCATCCTCAGATTCATTCACTGCCCCAGCAAAGTGTGATCCAGCACCTTGTTCCTTGTTCTTCCTCTTCAACTTCCAGCAGTCTGCTATATTGTGATTTGTTTTCTTACAATATCTGCAGACCAGTCATGTTTCACTTCCTTCTACACTTCCTTGTTTTGCTGACTGCCTTGCAGCAGCATTCTCATTCCCTTGATTTCCTTGTCTCCCATAAGATGCAAGTGCCACTGACTGTGTGTTCCTTCCTTTATCAGACTTCAGTTTCTGCTCATGCTGGAGAAGGTCCCCATATGCTGCCACAACAGTTGGAAGAGGCTTCATCATGAGAAGCTGAGTCTTCACAACATCATATGCAGGACTGACTCCTCTCACAAATCTCACAAGGTAATCTGTTTCTTGTTTTGCCTTAAAGGCTTCAACAGCTGGACATGGGAGAACCTGTCCTGGAGCACAAGTACAAGGTACTATTGGATTGAACTTCGAGTATTCCTCCCATAACCCTTTCATCAGTGTATAATACTGGGTTATGGTCATGTTTCCCTGCTTACAAGCATGAATATCATCTTCCAGATTGGTCAATTTCACAGCATTAGCTTGACCAAACCTGTCTTTCAATTCTTCCCACAGATTCTGTGCAACTTCATGACTCTGGACACTTCGCTTAATGTCCTTATGCAGAGAATTAATAATCCAGCAAAGAACAACAGTATTGCAAGCATCCCATGCTCTATAACCATTAGGATCTGTCCTAGGATCAGGGATTTGAACAGAACCATCTATGAACCCAAGCTTATACTTGGTTTTGAGAGCAATCCGAACAGATCTAGCCCACATTTGGTAATTACTACCATCTAGAACTTCAGACACGATGGATTGAGAAAGATTCTCATTAGGGTTTTGATAAAAGGGGTTACCGAACTGGAAATCTGGAGAGGGTTGAACAACTTGTGTGGAATCTGTGGCCGCTGCACTTGAAGTTGAATGTGCTGCTGACCCAGTACTGGGTTGTTCTTCATTCCCACTCATTGTGACCTAAAGCTGCTGCTCCAACCTGGATCAGGCTGCCTGAATGGCGCCGTGCTCTGATAATGGTAAAGGAAACCGGATCGTACCGGCCGGTTGAACCGGTAAAACCGGAAATCCGACCCTGAGCGATACGGTAGACCATTGGTAGCAAGAATATCGTGCCGGCCGGTTTGTACGGTTAAACCGGCGCAATGCAAAAAACCGCCCGGTTTTGGTCTAACCGGGGTATGCTTCTGGGAAGGGAACGACGCTGTTTTGGCAAAAAAAAATTGAAATCGGCCGAAGGCAGGAACCCCCCGTCGGCTGTCGACCAGGAAGGCAGGAACCCCCGTCGCGGCTGTCGCTTCTCTTCTCCTCTGGCGACCGCCGACCAGAGATCCTCGAGTGGCGAAGCCACCTGCGCTCCGCCACTGCTCCTCCTCAGCCAGCGCGCCGCTCCTCCTCAGTCGGCGAGCCGTTCGCTGCTCCTCCTCAAGTCGGCCGGTGCGCCTCTCCCTCCCCTGCTCAAGAAGTCGGCGGGGAGCTTAGGTTTATTCGTTTAGGCCTTAGGGTTGACAGCTGAGTTTGGGCTCCATTAGGCTCAATTAGCTGGGCCAATTAGCTGAGTTTGGGCTCCATTAGGTTCAATTATCCGTAGGTTTTCATGGGCCAAGCTTTAGTTAGTTGTTTTTGGCAAATTAACAAGAAAGTTTACAGTTCAATATCTTTTAACCAATAAATATTTTTTAATTACAAAAACGGTATTTTGCCGGTACACAACGATTGAACCACGGTCGTACCACAAAATACCCTACCGTTGACGGATCCGGTATGACCTCCGGTACGGTTTCCTTTACTATGCTGATACCATAAGAGAAGCGGAAGAAGATCTGAGATTTGGGTGGAGGAGCAGCAGAAAAACTGCAGTCCTCTCTTTAGGGTTTTCTATTTTATATTGGTGCACAACGGCTAATACACAGTATTAACGGTCATACGAAATCCATTAACCAAAGCTTAACACGTGCCAGGTTTGGATTCGTTATTAACCAACAGACTGCACTAAACAATCTCAAAGAATAAAGAACAAAACGGCAGCGCATATGAAAGTTCGATGTCAGTTCCAAACTTCCATTCTTCTCCATTTTAGTCCTTCGTTCTGGTGTTGAGACTGAATCCTTGCCTGATCAGGATTGCAGTGCAGAACTGTAGTGGCTGCTGTCCTTCTTCTGTCAGCTCCTTGCTGACCCTCCAATACGAAGGGTTTTTGTGTTTGAGAGCTCCGAAACTGCTTTCGGAAGTTCCGTTTGAAACGCGGAAGGAGTAAGCTGAAACTGAGAGGCGAGATCAATTGGGCCGATAGATTCCATATTTGAGAAAAGTGGGCTTTATGGCTATCACAATTCAGAAACACAGAAAAAGGCTTTTATTTTGGAAAATCCTGTCATCGGTAACAAAGGTAGTTCAATATTTCCAGAGAAAGACTAGAGTGTGCTCATATTTTTCTTGTATGAAGAGTCTCAATTCATAACTTGTGTGCTAATCCTTCTCGTCAACTACGATTTCATATATATAAATATAATCATGGATAAGCGACTAGAATAATAAATCTCTATCATTTGCGATCAACGCATTATACTATTCCAAGTTAAATTGTGCATAAGAACATCTCTGACTTGTCTAACATGGACCGATGTTATGATGTACACCGGAAAACCCTTCCTGGTAGTCAAGATTCCAAACCTTGCAGAAATGATTCACAAATAAATTTATTTCTTGGCATCTTAGAACTTCGGTTTCAGTCAACCTCTTAGACTACAGAGTAATTGAGTTCAGAGCACAAAAGGCTGAAGACAAGAGAATCATCGACCTAATATCAAGCCCGAACCGGCTTCGACAAAAGGTAAAAGTCACTAAGCCACAACCCTCGCGCTCTCTCTCTCTCGCTTCATCCAACTAACCAATATACTAGACAATGAATGACTACAACAGCCTTAACCGCTAGAATAATTTACATGGGAGGAATCCGATTCCACGTACAGACCGCATCGCTGGCTCATGCTCCCAGCCTCTTTGTGCCACATTCAGAGCAGAACTTTGATGTTTCTCTCAAATAAGGAGCACCACATTCATCGCAGAACTTCGCAGGGCTAGTCGGCTGCAAGAGTTGGCAAAATCAAGTCAGCTAGCCATCCCTACAAGATAGAACTTACTACTAGGCCTCCTTGTTATAGAAATGAGGCAATCAAACACCATACTAACCAAGACACTGAAAGAAACAACAAATACAGAAACAGCTGGATATGTTGGTATGCTACTAGATCTCTCCATGTCACAAACTTACTAGGATTTTCACTTAGTATTTTCAGTCAAAACATACTGGATAGGGATGAGTCTTTTTTTGGTGTTACCAGGGATGAGTTTACCCAATGCGAAAGTGCAATAGGATCTCTCTGCAAGACCTAGAACTGATTGGCATACCGGCATTTGATTTTCAAAGAATCAAGGTTCATTTCTAGTGTCTGAACCCTAGTTCCTATGCAGTCAATATATTCAATCACAATAGCTCTCACCATTAAATGCAAACGCCCTGTGAGATGGCTTCCTGCAAGGGGTTGTAAATAAGACATGTGTTGAGAAATGGTAGGCGACTGGTGTGCATGTGTCATCTCTGGCATGTGAGCAGGAGGTCCACATTGATGGCTTTGGGAGAAGTGTGGAGTATGTTGGCTGTGATGTGTTTGAAGAACTGGATGAAAATGTGGCTGGTTTGGCAACGGCTGTGCATTATGCTTTGGAGGAGTCTGCTCATGGCCATGTGACTGCCAAAAGATAGTTTCAGAAAACCACAAAAGAAAAGAGAAAAGGCATGACCCCCAAGCCCCCACTTTAGGTTAACTAACCAAATGACAACCAGTTGAATCAATCATTCTTTGCTAACATCAACAATGATCACACGTATGTTACAATATAACTAGATCCCCATCCCTAATTCAATTCTCAATTTATTCATGTAAGCTATACCCCCAACTTTGTAAACCTTGCCATAAGTTTGACGCACTTGAGCAAGTTCCGTCAAACAAAATAAAGATTAAATTGAAGCTGTATTTTGGTGGTTTATGTATTTTAACAACAAGTTCATGCTAATTAAGTTCGCTTCTCATAGCTGTTATGCTACAGTACTCATGGGAGAATATCACTAAGTGGAGCAAAAAACAGAAGAATATATAATCTATCGCTTTATCATATTTAAAAGACCTCTAATCAGCACTTACTGAGCGGAATCCTTGATCAGCAGACATTGCAGATGAACTGTCTGTCCCATGGATCGCCTGTGGAAGTATCGAGTCACAATCAAGTTTATTTAACCTATCTGACAATTAAGTAAAGCCCGTAATCAGAGAACATTCATATAACAACAGAATTTACTAATTAGCATCCCATTGTGGTTTAACTATGTCACAAAAGATAATCATCTTCACTACAAATATATATGACGTTTATAAAACTCCTAGAACAGAATAACTAGGCCTTTTGTTAATATATGAAAAATACGGAGTGATTCTAACTAACACATTCCAACTTGAACATGCTTGAAACCCAAATTCACTTTCCCTTTGTCAAGTACTCGTTACAGTTCTCGTCAATCTAAACTGGCAAAACTGAATCTGAAACCAAAAGGAAACTAAAACTTACCGTCAATCCAGGAACATTAGATACAATACGTCTGTACTTGTGCCTTGGAGAGTAGTATTTGTAGTCTTGGGCAGATACAGCAACGTCACTCCGACCAGTAAGTCTCTTGAACCTTTTGATATGAACAACGAGTTCAGGCATATAAAAAAAATTCGAAGAAAACCACAGTACACAATTTTCATAAGTTTGATATTAGACAATAGAGATACAATTTATTGCATTTTATGGCATCATCTTAACTATTACGACCCATGGATTTGCAAAGAATGACCAAATAACTAGATAGTATAAACATGACCTACAGAAAATGGTACATATATATTTAGGAAACAGCAATAGTGAGTCAGCGATGAAATCACATAAACAAGAGTACTCGGAACAATTCCAATAAAGGCATGCATGATTAACCAAACTTGAAATGAAAGTACTTCCAACAAGAAAGAGAAAGAGAGGATATAAGAGCTGGTCAATTGAACATATGTGAAAAAAGTGCATGTCTCAAAAGAGCAATGATGTAATAATCCAATAAACAAGTTGTACCAGGAAGCTAAATGATTCCTAACAGGATGCATATTATTGATCTTGCTATTCTTAGTTCCAAACAAGAAAACACAGAAAACTGTCAATTGCATACTAATGATCTTTCCATGATAATCTTACATGTTCCCCTTGTTCTACCCAACAATTGTTCAAATGAAACAAAAATTGAGAATATGTTGTCATCGCTCACCACTCTGCATCTTCTCTGGGCAGATTCGTCGGCTTCTCAACTATATCCAAACCATTCACCACCACAAAACGCACTCTTTTCTCTTCTTGGATCACTAACTCTGGAAATCTTGTTCTTGTCTCCACAGAAGTTGCCAGTTCTCTTCTTTTAAACAAACAAGAACCTAAACAAAACAGGAAAAAGAAACACCAAGTACTTGAAAGACCTCAATGTAATACACCTATGTATATAAAAATCTATTATCTAAATCAGCAAGTCAGATAAGATCAAACATACTTGTCATATTTGAAGCCAAAATGAGTGGCGAGCAATTTTAATGTACAGTTGTACACAACTAGTTCAGTTATGCAATCCACTGGTGACCATAAAAGAAGAAACATCCGTACCTTTCTTGGGGAATTTTTTGGCCAATTTTCGGTACAAACCACCAGCTGCTTCAAGAGCTATTCCAATGGTCTTATCACGAATAGAATTCGAGGAAGCCAGTCTTATATTTACATCATTCACTAGCATCTCATACAGATTGGCCACATACATCAAGGGCAAAGCAAACCTCGGATCCCCTTCGTATCTAACATCTCCAGACTTCCTTTTGCTCAAATTATCTTGCCCAGGATGACCAGAATAGTCACTACTGCCATTATCCGTCACCTCAATCAAGTGATCGCTAATGAAGTAATCCACAACAATTTGCAAAAGTCTAGCCCTTGCAGATTCAATAGGTGAAACATCTGCATAGAGAAGCCACCCCCGCCAAATGAGTTCACTGAACCCAAATACAAACAGTGAATCCATATCGTCCACTTAGAAATTAGAATGCATACCTTCGATGTTTAACAAATTGTATGGAACCCTTGAAGACCCACTATTCTCGACGCTAGAGCGGTCCTCTTCGGTTCCAATACCATGAAGTGGTAGAGAGTTTCTGTAAGACTCATGGATGCAGTCCTAACATAACAGCGGAAACAGAGAAGCTCAGAGTTGGGGAAGGATAGTGAAAAAGGTAAAACCAAGATACCCATAACTTTAACAGTGAGATTGAAACAAAGGGAGAGGGACGTACAACAGCAGGGCCAGGAGAGTCGTGGTCGCCGTTGAGGCCAGTATCAGAGGAAGAAGGGTGAGGATCGGCTTCGGCTATGCCTACGATACTAGCCGGCGGTCGAGAATCGACGGTGTTGAGGTCATGAAGAGAGCTTCCGATGAATGAATTGGCCGTAGGTGGCGATCTCAAGTTATAGTGCTGCACCGGAACCCTACTCCCCATTTCTTCCGACATCAATGCTATTCAGAATCGGGAAACAGGTCGACCATGGCGCATCTCCTCGCCTTCTTCCGGTAACCCTACAAGCAGAAAGAGGAGGAAAAGAAGAGAGGCGCGGAGGGATTAGAGTTACTTCGCCGGTGGCCATGTTGGAGTGATGAAATGGAGGCTATGAGAGTACGAGGACTGGAGGGAGTTTGGATTTGAATCGAATCGGGTAGAGAAATGGGGAAGATATAGAGGACCAGACCTGAGATTTGTGAAGCCGTAGCTGAGCTTTGCGCGGGCGCATAGAACAACTGTACCAATCTCCGAACCTCGCTCCGATCTAAACAGCTGCCAACTTCCCAACCCGAACCTCTTCCCCTGCAACTGCACCACCTCAAACGAAGCAAGTGGCAAGGGAAAAGATCGTTCTGATTCTTGGGCTGGGCTGGGCTGGGCTGGGCTGGTCTGGGCTGGATCTTTTAATAATATTATTACAGAAGGCCCGGTTCTGGGAGGTAGAAATGAAACAAGCCAGATATTTTAGTTGGATGGTAGTAGCATCTCAATTCTCAAATTGAATCCATAATTAGATATTTTGGTTTTGTACAATTTTGTTCGCTTTTATGGTGAGGCACTTGCAAAATAGAAAAAATTATTTATCGTTTTGGTGTGATTATCAATAACAAAAGGTTGATAACAATGGTCCGTGAGAAGTATATGATATGAAGATAAGTCGTATTACTATTATTTGGAAATAATGAGTTGTGTCGGTGACTCGGTGTTATAAGTTGGCTCGTGGGGAATAAAAACGAACAATTTTCAAAGGAGGTTAAGCACCATACATGGATTTGTATAAGATCCAGTATAATCTTCTTCCAACAACTCGAGTTATTGGGATCAACAGGTTTATGACATGGTAGCAAAACTGGTTTGTCCGTGAGGTCACGTGTTCAAGTCCTCACGACCCCCAATATTAATCGTTGTCTTTCAAGCACATGGTATGGCGGGCCTGTGCATACTTCAAACCCATGAGTTGGCTTTCATTTGAGGGGGCGTGTAAGGAAGTGGTTAAGCACCATACATGGGCTTGTATAAGATCCAGCATAACCTTCCTCCAACAGCTCGAGTTATTGGGATCAACTGGTTTATGACACATTAGGTTTCAACTAAACAAGAAGCACAAACCCAATATCGCAATAATGATGTCATGAGATTGGACGAGGGTAGGGATGACAACAAAATCCGAACCCATAGGTACCCTACCCGACCCAACCCGGTCAACGCGTGTAAAACCCGTGTTGACAGATTTCGGGCCGGGTTCGGGTTTAAACCCGTAACAATTTACCGGGTTGGGTTTAGGGAAACCCAACCCATGGGTACCCGCCCACACTTATTTCGTCGCCTACTCTCTCCAAACCCTACTTTAATTCTAATTTCTCCCAATCTAATTTACAATTTGTATGGATAATTTGTGATTTGTTTGAATTTTCTAAATTCGTGTTTTATGTATGGATAATTTTTATGGAGAAATTGATGTTTGACTTTTATTTTGATAGGAACTTGTCATTGTATTTTTTTACCACAAAAACCCATGGGTACCCATGAACTCGCGGATACCCAACGGGTTGGGTTGGGTTTGAGTTTTCCAAACTCATTGGGTTTTATCCCGAATTTTTTTAACGGATAAACCCCATGAGTTTGGTTTTGAGTAGGGCTGTTAATGAGCCGAGTCGAGTCGAGCTTTGCCATAGTTCACGGCTCGTTAATATATTTCCAGGCTCAAGCTCGGCTCGTGTTCGTCACGAGCTTTAATATGCAAGCTCGAGCTCGGCTTGTTTACGAAAATGAAAGCTCGAGCTCGACTCGAGCTCGGCTCGTCAAGTAAGCTTAACGAGCTCAAAATTGAGTTCGGCTCATAAAATGTTCATGATAGCTCAAGATTGACCTAGAACTGCGCACAAAATTACATTCAAACATGTAGCAAAGTAAAACTCAATATTTATCTCAATTTCAATACATAAAATCCATGAGTTCTAATTCTTCTTTTATGTAAAACCATTAAATGAGCTTGTTCGCGAGCTTTCGCGCTGAACATGGCATGGCTCGAGTTCGGCTCGTTTAGTTAACGAGCTTGTTCGCGAGCCGGCTCGATTAAAACGAACCGAATGTCGAACGAGTTTTTCTCGAGTCGCACACCGAGCCGTTCATGAGCGGCTTGGTTCATTAACAACCCTAGTTTTGAGTTTGGAAAAATCTGACCCATTCCGACCCATTGCAATCCTAGATGAGGGAGAATGCCACCTCATATAGGTTATTAGCACAAGTCAAGTTTTGAAACCCCCCAAAGTATAGAGCCTTTTTTAGAGCCTTGTTTTTTGTGTTTTGGTATTCAAGTGAAGGTTAACTTAGATTATAACGCAACCATGCCTCAACATGCATGTTATAGTTTAGTAAGTGATAATGGAGGGGGACATAAAGGAGAATCAAAATAGGCAAAGTCGCATGATTTGTAGTTAGATCGTAAGTAAGAGAGATAATTAATCGTTAATCACAAATCATGGAATCAAGACGGATGCGACTAGAGTGCTATGGAACGTGTTCAGGCACTAGGGATCGGTATGGGTTTGTTTAGTTGAGTGCATTATATTATGCATGGTATGTTCATTCTAATGTTCGTGACACTCATAATGTGTAGCATTTTGTTAAGTGAATTGGAGAAACAAATAGGATGGCAATGGGTCGGGTTGGGTCGGGTTTTGCCAAACTCAAATCCAAATTCATGGGTTTATTCGTGAAAAAAACCCAGGTTTAAAACCCATTGAATTGAAAAATTCAAACCCAACCCAACCCGCTGGGTATCCGCGGGTTCATGGATACCCATGAGTTTTTGTCGTAAAAAATTTACAATAATAAGTTCCTATCAAAATTAGAGTCAAATATCAATCTCTCAATACAAATTATCCATATATAAAACACTATTCTAAAAAATTCAAGCAAATCACAAATTAACTATACAAATTGTTCAACACCAATCTAGAAAACTCAAGAAAGAAAAAATTAGACATGTCTCCACAAACATAAATAAGATTAGTTGTTTAGAATATTAAATATACCGACAAAATTAATTATAAGGGTGTGGGCGGGTACCCATGGGTCGGGTTTACCTAAACCCAAACCCAACCCGGTGAATAGTGAACGGGTTTAAACCCAAACCTGGCCCAAAACCCGTCAACATGGATTTTACCCGGGTTGGGTCGGGTGGGTACCCGTGGGTTCGGGTTTTATTGTCATCACTAGAAACAAACCTGGCAAAGTTGCATGAAATGCAGTTGGCTTACAGAGTAAGAGGGAGGGGTGGAAATTGGGGTGAGTGTGGTTACCCGCCCCACATTTTGGGGGTAACCACACCCACAAATATAGAATTATGCTACCTACAACTCACCCCGTAGACCGTAGTGGGTAGTGGTTAACCACTACTCGCTGCGGATTGGTGCGGGTTGGCTGTGGATACCCACAAAAAATTTACATTAAATATAATAATATTGTAATTAAATAGTGATGTTGTATGTCTTCTCACACAAAACAAAAACATACATAAAAAAAATTGATAAAGTGTAAAATAAATTATAAATATCGAATACAATAGGTTAGTTAGTGTAAATTCAAAAGTGATGGATTTGAAGAGGCGAAGTGATATGTTACCAGACTAACATCGTTGCATGTCACGACTCCGCCGATGGCAACAATAGCAAAATACAAAAGTGGCTCGATAAGTGGAGGTGCCCGCTTTTAATAAATCGATTATTCTCCACTCTCGGTTATAGTCTTGTGTTGTTGGTGGTTGGTTGCATGTTGTGTTGTTCGTGAGTTCGTGGAGAAATGGAGATGAGTTTGGGTATTAGACTAACCTTTATCGATTATTCTCCTCTTTTCACGAATCGATTAATTTATCTGACTATATCTATGGACTTGGTTTTGTTATAAAATAAACATATAACACAGGGACAATGCTTATTTAATAAAAGTATCTCACATGAACATTGTGTATTGACTTGCTTTTGTTTTATAAAATAAGTGCATATTTGATTTTGGTACCTACTTTAATTCTTAGTCTTCCAAGTTTCACAAACTAATATAACTAATGTGGGTTTTGTGGGTAAACCGATGTGGGTAGTGGTTAACCACTAACCACAAAAATCAATATTTTGCTACCCACACCCAACCCGCTATCCACAAATTGTGAGTATGGGTATCCACAAAGTGTGCGGTTTGCGGGTTACCCGCAACCCGCAAACCAAACTTCCACCCCCTAAGAGGGATAGTTAGGCCTCAAATACAAAGTAAATTTTTATTCTGTTAATATAAATGTTAGTGACACCTTATCGTATTTGATCAAGGTAACCCGCAAACCAAACTTCCACCCCTAAGAGGGATAGTTAGGCCTCAAACACAAAGTAAATTTTATTCTGTTAATATAAATGTTAGTGACACCTTATCGTATTTGATCAAGGTAACCCGCAAACCAAAATTCCACCCCTAAGAGGGATAGTTAGGCCTCAAACACAAGGTAAATTTTTATTCTGTTAATATAAATGTTAGTGACACCTTATCGTATTTGATCATTTCTGCTAATTAAACCACGTATATAAATACAATTTTTTATGTTTTAATTATAGATTGATTACAACTCATACATGATTTTTTTCATTATTATACCTAAATATGCTAAATGCCTAAATTTCACCGATTGATTTTTAGAACTTATTATTTTTGGTGAATCCTTTTTAGAACACAATAATAGGCTGATTATTAAAAGGAAAATTCGAGACGGTATCGGACGGCAACCAAACACTTGCCGTGTCAACTAGCGCGAAAAGAACGTAACAAACACGTCATTCCAGACCCGTCTCGACTTTTTATTGGTTATCCGTAACTGAGTCGGCCAATTCCCGTTCTATAAATTGATCCCCAATTCTCCCTTTTTCTCTCACAAATTCTCAATTCATCCGCAGCTCTTCCCGATCAAACCTTCGATTTAGTGCTTTCTGCCCGCAGCTTCTCAAGGTAACATCTGAGTTCGATTTCCCCCTCCTTCCGTTCTTCGTCATCCTGTTCTGGTTTTGTATGTATTGAACTCTGGATTTGGGTATTTTTCTTCTCGTTCTTTAGTTCGATCAGTTCTTCGGCTGCGTTGATTTTGGGAGTTAGGTTTCCCTCTATCCATTAATTGGATCGTTATATTGAATTTGTGGTGTTCTATTCGCTTTCTGGTCCGTCCATTTTAATCTCACCGTCTCCGATATAGATTGGAGCTTGGTTTTGCTAGTTAATTAGGGTTTAGACGATCTCCTAATATTTATCTGGTTGTTGAATTTCGTCGTTGCGATTTACAGATGCAGATCTTTGTCAAGACTCTCACCGGAAAGACAATCACCCTCGAGGTCGAGAGCAGCGACACTATCGACAACGTCAAGGCTAAGATCCAGGACAAGGAGGGGATTCCCCCGGATCAGCAGAGGCTGATCTTCGCCGGCAAGCAACTCGAGGACGGCAGGACCTTGGCCGATTACAACATCCAGAAGGAGTCGACCCTTCACCTGGTTCTCCGTCTCCGTGGAGGCATGCAGATCTTCGTGTCGAGAGCTCCGACACGATCGATAACGTGAAGGCTAAGATCCAGGACAAAGAGGGCATCCCACCGGATCAGCAGAGGTTGATCTTCGCCGGCAAGCAGCTGGAGGACGGCAGGACCTTGGCCGATTACAACATACAGAAGGAGTCTACACTTCACTTGGTCCTCCGTCTCAGAGGTGGGATGCAGATCTTCGTGAAGACCTTGACCGGCAAGACCATCACCCTCGAGGTTGAGAGCTCGGACACCATCGATAATGTCAAGGCTAAGATCCAGGACAAGGAAGGGATCCCTCCTGACCAGCAGAGGCTTATCTTCGCCGGGAAGCAGCTAGAAGATGGAAGGACTTTGGCCGACTACAACATACAGAAGGAATCAACCCTCCATCTTGTCCTCCGTCTCAGGGGAGGTATGCAAATCTTCGTGAAGACCTTGACTGGCAAGACCATTACCCTTGAGGTCGAGAGCTCCGACACCATTGACAATGTCAAGGCCAAGATCCAGGATAAGGAGGGAATCCCTCCAGACCAGCAGAGGCTCATCTTTGCCGGGAAGCAGCTCGAGGACGGAAGAACTCTGGCGGATTACAATATCCAGAAGGAGTCGACCCTTCACTTGGTCCTGCGTCTGAGGGGAGGGATGCAGATTTTCGTGAAGACCCTGACTGGGAAGACGATTACCTTGGAGGTGGAGAGCTCGGACACCATTGACAATGTCAAGGCCAAGATCCAGGATAAGGAGGGAATCCCTCCAGACCAGCAGAGGCTCATCTTTGCTGGGAAGCAATTGGAAGATGGGAGGACACTGGCGGATTACAACATCCAGAAGGAGTCTACCCTCCACCTTGTCCTGCGTCTCCGTGGTGGCTTTTAAAGGGTCTTCTGTCTCTTGTGATGCGTCAAGTTGTTGGTGTTTGATTATGTTTGAACTTTGAAGATGTTTTAAGTTTCTGGTCTTGAAAGAATGGTGTAGCCTAATGACACCTCAGTTTAAGTTTTTTCCTTTTGGTTCATTTTCGAGTACTGTGTTGGCCGTGGTGGCCATTTGAACAATGATTCTCTGTCGGTTTCTTGCTGTTGGAATGATGAAGTCGAACTATGTTAATAAAGCCTATGGTTCTTTCTGTCTTGATATACTTGCTTACCTCTGTGCATTTGATGGTATTGGTATCATATGCAGAGCTTTTAGTTTTGGCAAAGTTAACTGTTAACTCATATCTCAGAGGTATGCAACTAGCAACTAGCAACTAGCAAGGTTGAGCTGCTTGCACTTAACCAGGTTGCATGTGCATTGTTTTTGTTTTTATTTCAATTTCTGCAAATTCCTAAGCTCCTAGCAACCTGCATTTGACGAAATTCGAATGATGGGTCTCTCATCTTTATTAATGCCCATTGCACAAGGGGTACTTAGTTTAATCCATGGCTTACTGTGTTACCCACAGCAGAATGTATAGTCACTTTCACTAGCGAAAGGAAAGAGTTTAGCCGATGAATGCGACCTACGAATATTGAAGGTTGTCAACCTGCGGGCCGCGGTAACCCGATTGATGGATTCGATGATCCAATGGAATGAATCACTGGAACTTGGGGATAGTGGACAATCACTGGAGCTTGACATATTCAACAAGTCACTGAAGTACAAGCGCAGCACAGCTCATGTATTTTTGCACTTCTGCTTAACAAAACACACTATGCCAAATCAATGAAGCCTTAATCAAGAGAATTACTAAAAACAGTGTAGAATAAGGTGGCTTTTAAACTCAGTTCTGCGAGATCAGTTTACAACCATAAATTGTCCTTAATGTTTAAGCAGTGTCCATTAAACCGTACCGTACCGGCGGTTCAACCACGAAATACCAGTATCGGAGGCTAAATCGATATACGGTATTTATCGGTATAACGGTTGAACTATGGTTAAACCATGGTTTTACCATAAAATACCCTACCGCTGACTTTCCCGGTACAGTCTCTGGTACGATTTCATGAAACATGTGTTTAAGTAAAACTGTAAAAGCAGAAAGTACGCTTTGAACTCTTGCCATGAGTTGCAGGCTTCCAGTTCCCCCCCTCTGCATATCTCGTAGAATTCTCAGTGCGGGAATATGGGGACCATAAAAAAAGTTCAAGTGTGGCTGCTGGGATTCGAGCCCAGGTCATCACGGCCACAACGTGATATTCTAACCACTAAACTACAGCCACTTTTGGTGATAACAATGGCCTGTAATTATATTGAACAAATGAAACTAATCCATCTCATATAGTTACTACTTACTAGTTACTAAGACACGTCAATTTTTGCTACGAAATTTCAAATGTCACCTCTACGTTTATTTCCACTAAAGGTTTTCAAAAAGATAGTTTTAGGAGAAACTAAATGAATGCATTATTTTCCTTTTCTTTTTCATTTCATTGAATTTACAACTACAATTGCATTACGGGTGATTAACAATAAACATAGACTCCATAAGTTTTCGAAATCTATTCTATCGATCTCCATTGATTTTAGTGTACCGCAAGTCTTGACAGATAAGGAACCCTTTGAATTTCATAATATGAAGGCGTTTTCTTGGTCTTTACCATTGCAAGAATAAATTGCGGGTACGAATTGATGAATTCATCACTTTGATGTGATTTGTTAAATTTTATTAAAATTTAAAAGAGATCGGGAGATGCAATAGGACCCGGACCACGGATCCAAATTCCAAACATGGCCTAATCCCTTGTATTTTTTTTTTGGGATCGTTATTCGTTAACCTGCCTAATCCCTTGATTTTCTGTTTGTTTCTTTTATTGCCCATTTTAATTAGCTAGTTCCACTTCCTATCAAATAATTATAATACAAAAATATTTTTAAAATCGGGGAAGACCGACGGAAAAATTGAATCGGCAATTCGGCATTGGTACGCAGGGAGAGTTGCCGCCTCTCCCCGGCGCGTTGGGCACCGCGCTTTCTGCCTCCTTATATCTCTTCTGTGGATTCTTGAGAACTCTACTCACTCTCAGGGATAGGAGAGGAAGAGACACCATCTGGGCGAAGATGGCCGCTTCGCTTCCACTGCCGCTATGTGCCCTTCTTCTCTTGTCTTCCATCATCGTCCTTTCTCATGCAGCAGCATACGAAACGATCACATTGGAAGGTACAATGGGTTTCTGTCAATTTACTCTCTTCGCACAACCCAAATGCGGTGGGTTTTCTAGCTCTTTGTTGCTTTGGTTTCCAAGAACTCGCTTCCCGCTCCCTTTTGATATCTCCGCTTTTTGCTTCTTGGTGGTTATGGTTCTTACTGATTGGCTTTCGGAGAAATTGGGGGAGCTGAAGGGGTTGGTTTGGCTGTTAAGTATTCTCATCTGTAAATTCCCTGCGTCTTAGCTTTTAATTTCATCCATCTTTTCAATTAAGGTGATATCCGAGGATTTTTGTAGGGCAAAGTACAATGCAAATGATTGTATACACTTGTTGGAGAGAATAATGTTAGGGGATTGCGGTTTAGGTTTCCCTTTGTGGAAGTGCATTGAGAAAGATTGTCTCGTACTCTATGCTAGTTGTGGCAGTACACTGTAATCGTCAAGGGCAAAAGGCTTAGACACGATCCTCCGAGAAACCTTTCTTTGATGCCTTAGTTGCCATTATGAAAACTAACGTACAATTTGCTTGCAGGTGTTGATCTAGGAAACCCAAGACGGATCCATTTTAGCTCTCAGTATGGACATTCACCTGGCCGCGATCCAAAAGAAGCATTGTTCTGTGAACGAGTTAAAATTTCTGGTCAATCAAGACTGAAACTTGCTAGCTATTCTAGCGCTCTCAGGGTTACACTCGTACCCTTTCCTGTTATTTCCGAAAGACTTCATCGAAGGATTCATGTTTGTTTCCACCGGTAAGTGAATATATATCTGACATTAAGGAAACCTTCAGTTGCAGTTTTGCACTTTTGCTGTTTTAATCTGATTTTTAAGGACTGTTCAGGAATGCTTCACTTGGACGGTGTGATTGTGAGAAAGAAGAGTGGAAAACTTTTCAAAATGCTCAATGGAGTTCAGTCATGTCTCCTTATCAGGAGAGATATATTGATGTGAAGACCACTGGAGGAATATCTGGTGGCGGTATCACTGTCCAGCTTAAAGAAGGTAATATTTCGCTTTGTCATCTTATTGGTCCTTGTTCAACTCCTTGTCTTCTTAGATATCCTTTATTATCATCACTCTTCTTTTGACTGTGCAGAATCACAAAGGTGGCGCCTCTTGTGTCTGGCAGTGGGATTCATATTGCTATTGCTTGCACCAATAGTCAGCAGCTGGGTTCCGTTCTACTATAGCACATCAATGGCTATTGGCATTTTTCTTGTCATCATCATTCTTCTATTTCAGGTATGCTGTAATCTCAATTATCTGGTACAAATCTTCATGAAACTCCTCACTGTCTAATTCTGTGTAACTGTGTGTTACCTTGGATTATTCTTTAGCTTTTATTTGATGGTCTAAGAAAAAGGGTGAAGTTACTTGTTCCCAAGAGTTTTTCAAGTCCATTATGATATGCTTAGTTGGTTTTCGGTGGTTATCCATTTTACCCTCCAAACGCTAGCTCCCGAACAGGGTTTGTTGTCTCTATATCATGTGATTAAGATCAGTGCATGATTTGGTTTGTTTTGTTATACAGAAACTTCCAAACTCTTATCTAGATGATTATAGGTTGGCTTATGTTTGGGATGTTCTATTTATCGAATCATTTTGAATGGTAACTAGATGGCAGACAATTTGAGATGATGTGACTTAACTTGGTCCGTACGATTCCATTTTCTGGTTTCATCCTCCTAGTTTTCTTATTCCATAAATAACACTTACTGTCTAATCTTCAGGGTATGAAATTACTGCCGACTGGAAGGAAAAGTGTCCTCTATCTCTCAATATATGGCTCAGTGGTGAGTGGACTTGACCTCTTCTTTTCTCTTTATCTGCTATTGGGTAAAGGTCTCACTCCTCAATTTTTGGTTACAGCTTGGGGTTGGCACCTTCATTTTGCATCACATATCTGAGCTCATCAATTCTATTCTTCTTAATTTTGGGCTTGATGAGGAGATGCACAATCCGGTGAGTCCAAAACTTCATTTTCCTTGCCCACAATTTGAATAACATTGTTTGATGAATTCTAGGAAGATCACATCTTAATGATCTTATGTATTGTCATATTTCTAGGACTTGACTTTATGTATTTCATGATTTTCTAAACATAGATATAATAATAGAAACCACTGTGTTAAATATACATGCATGTTTGATGGCTCATGTCGGGTAGTTTTTTTTTGTATGAATGGAAAATCATCCCTCCTGATGTGGCCTTATCTTATTTGCAGGTCTACATATTTGTATTAGTAGGCATTGTGCTTGCCGGAGCAGGATTAGGGTATTGGATGGTTAGAAAGTTTGTTGTTGCAAAAGATGGAAGTGTGGACCGTGGTGTAGCAGAGTTTGTTAAATGGGCTATTCGGGCGATTGCAACCACCTTTATCTTCCAGGTATCGCATTCGTATCTTTCTTATTATGCCTAGTTTCTTCAGAACTTTGATATTTATTTGACATGCTATGGTGAAGCCTCAGTACTCCCTGAATGTGAAAATGAGAAGAATGAAATTAGATAATGTTTTGTTGGTTTACAGAGCACACCTGATCCTCCATTAGCATTGCTTGCTGTGGTCTTAACGTACACCATATGCTCCCTTATCATAAAGTGGATGAGGCAACCTAGGTAAGTTCCCCCAAAAAAGTTTATGTACTTCCTACCGTCTTCCCATTTTATAATCTAGTGACACGTCTTTCTAATTTTGTGCAGGTACAAGTCAGGGAGGGCTGTAGGAAAGCAGAGCCGGGCTGAATTCTACAGCAGATCAGCCACAGCAACAGCTAAAATGAGTCCTGGAGGGAGAATGCCAGGTGCTTGGATGAACTCCCCAGTCAAAGGTATACACATTTTCTGCAGCTACTGGTACTATGGAACCAAGGTGTGTATAATGTTTTTTCGTGTAACTTCTCCTGTTGTTTGTTTTAACAGGTTTGGTGACATCATCATCTGCTGCTCCAGCGCAGCATGGCAGCACTGTGATGGATCAGGATTATTACTCAACCTTCCATAAAACAGCAAAGAGAAAGAAGTTCACAAAGGAAGAATGGGATGAGTTCACCAGGGAGTCAACAAAGGAAGCAATGAGAGAATGGGCATCATCTCCTGAAGTGGCCAGTTGGCTGATCAACAATGCTGACCGGATTCAACTCCTTCCAAGCGATTGCAGTTCAGACGAAGAGGCATCTGGCAAAGACAGTGAGACAGACTCGACCGAGGAGAATGCATCTAGTATCCAAGGTGGTAAAGGGCTTAGCTGTTTATTCAGCTGGTGAGGAAAAGAGAAGAAATGAGGCTGGATCATGGCGACGTTGTTTTAGGTTCTTTCTGTGGCAGAGTGCTGATCTGAAAAGAAACCCAAACACAGGTGAGTAGGTTTTTCATGTTTTCGTCCACCCTTTACACTCGAGAGTAGTCCTTTCTGATGTTGGATGAGGCCTGAGGGTAACAGAGAAAGAAACATGACACTATAGGAGAGGGCTTTGAGCTGATTTCTTGAGGAGAAGCTTTAACTAGGAGTAGGAATAGATTGTTTGTAGGTAACTGCTTCTTCCTTGTGCATAGTATGGTGTCATTTGTACTTGAATCTTGATGGAGAAAATTCAGTGTTTTCCCTGAGCATGTATGAATTGTGATAGAGTTAGAGTGTAATTGACAGGATGAAATTGAATGCATAGTTCTCTGTATATATTTTGACTATTTTGAGTGCATGGTTAAAATGGTTTGTCAATTTTGACTATATATATTTGGAATTGGCAGACGTGGCACAATTGATGGCAGAATGTCTCCCTATGTCTCCCAACTATCCACGTGCCACTGTCTGAGTGGTTCACAGAATCCACTAGCCTGCCCTAAAATCCATTTCCATCAAGGATTTCTGCTCCCTCCAAGCTTTCTCCACCACTTAATCCCCAACCCCACTCCCTCCCTATTGACTCTGTCACTGTCCAGAAAACTTCAAACCCAGAAACTAAGAATCAAAGCTAACAACAACTCATGATTCAGAATTCCCCACGCCCACCCAATTTCCCCGCCATTCCATTCCTCTTTATTCTTCGCTCTTTCTTCTGGTTCTTCTCAAATCATCTCTCCCCATCAACCTTGAGTCCCCTTTTCAATGGCGATCCCCTGTTCTCCTGACTGGTCACTGGTAGCTTCTTCTTCATCTTCACCTTCGCACATCACGTGCTCCACCAAACCCAAAAGCTTCCCACCATGCACCAAGCGCAACAGCTTCTCTTTCCGCCCAAACTCCAACTTCCATATCAAATCTTCCTGCTTCCCATCTGCTCCAGTTCTGGCAGCAGAAGAGAAAGAAGAAGCACCCCCAAATTTCCGTGGCAACCACTTCCGGCTTCAAAGAGACTACAACCTCCAGCAGCAGCCCTACCCGGCTTCAGATGCAGAGAATCTCAACGCATTCCTTCGTGGGTTGCTTCACGATCCCAGAACCGAAGCCTTGGCTTGTGACCACTACAGGAAAGCCAAGGAAAACCCACAGTTCAAGCCAGAGAAGTCCGTCGTAAAGCTTCTGGTGAAGTATCTGGTTCGAACCAAGAACTGGGATCGTTTGCTTCTGTTGCTTTTAGACGATTTCAGGAGGTACGATACTCTCCCCGACGCTTACACTTGCTCTACATTGGTCGAGAATTGCATCCGAGCTAGGAAATTCAGAATTTCTGACCGATTCCTCGTGATTTTCCAATCCCACCCTAAAGTCTCTGTTTTAGCTTTCAATTCCGCTATGAAAGGTTACAACAAGTTGCATATGTACGGCAGTGTGATTCGATTGCATGGTAAAATGAAATCTTCTGAAATCGGTTTGAGTTCTGGCTGCTATTACCAGGCAATGAAGGCACACCAGAAATTGGGCAATGCAGAAAACGTAGTTGCCCTGTTTGACGAGTTTGAATCTGAAGAGCTTGACCCAAAACTAGAAGTTGTGACCAAAATGTACAGAGTATTGACTGAATCACTAGCCAAATCAGGTAGAGCTTCTGAAGCTCTCGGTTACTTGAGAAGGAATAACAAGGAAGATGGTTTGCTTGTCGAGGATCCCAAAATCTACTCATCGTTAATCTGGTCATTTGCTGACTCCAATCAAGCTCGAGAAGCGGAAGAGCTATTTCACGAAGCGATAGAGAAGAACGCATTGCAAGACCCAGAGGCATTCTCGAAGCTCATCTCGATGTATATCGAGCGAGGTCAGGTGGAAAAGACTCTCGATGTTGTCAGTGCCATGAGCCACGATGCAAACGTCAAGGTTACCGATTGTGTGTTCTGTACGGTACTGAACGGTTTCGCCAAAAGGAGAGGCTTTTCTGCTGCAATCAAAGTGTACGAGGAGATGATAACCAAAGGGCATGAGCCAGGACAGGTGACCTATGCATCAGCGATCAATGCATACTACCGTGTGGCAAACTATCGCACAGCAGAGAAGGTGTTTGCAGAGATGCGCGAGAAGGGTTTCGACAGGTGCCTTGTGGCGTACTCCACCGTGATCGCGATGTACGGGAAGATGGGTAGAGTTACGGATGCAATGCGGCTGTTGGGGGAAATGAAGGAGAGGAAGTGCAAGCCCAACATATGGGTGTACAATTGCTTGCTTGAGATGCACGGTAGGGCGATGAATGTGAAGCAGGTGGAGAAGATATGGAGCGAGATCAAGAGGAGGGGAGTAGGTCCCGACAAGGTCAGTTATACTAGCCTCGTGAGCGCATACAACAAGGCAAAGGACTTCGACAAGTGTGTTGAGTTTTTCGAAGAGTACAGGAAGGTGATGAATGGCGATGGTGTGGATAGGAAGATGGGAGGGATAATGGTGGGGGTATTCTCAAAGATGAGTTTGATAGAGGAGATGGTGAAGCTGTTGAGAGAAATGGAGTCAGTTGGGACGGGATTGGATGCGAGGCTTTATGCAACGGCTTTGAATGCATTGAGAGACACTGGGCTCGAGTCGCAGTCAAAATGGTTGAAGGAGAGCTTTCAAGCTACTTGAGTAGGGTATACCCTTTTGATTTAGTATCCTTTTCACTTCAGAATCCCTGTTGTAGCTCAGTAGCTAGCATCTTATAGTGTGTACTGTACATAAATGGTTGTATAGTGGCGCCTGTGATGATATAAATGGAAGATTTTTCTGTGATGTTGTCAGAGATTAGCGAAGATCATCATTATTAGCTGACATAACTGAGGAGATACAGAGACCAAAGATTGGTTTAACAGGCAGATGGTGGATAAGATAACTCAGAAAATAGGGAAATAAATACTAAACATTGGCTCATAATACAAGGGCAACCCTTTATTTGACACTCTTTTTCCTTCTACAGCAAGCAACTAGCAATGCCTGCCGGCAGTTCTGAAATAATGGAACTGCGATTACTTCCCACACAAGGCAGCCCCCGGAACCCAGCTGTGCTAAGCTCATGGAAGGGTGAAGCCTATACAGAAATGGTCACAATGTTAATCAGTCCGCCGCGTCAAGCTTTTGATTTTTAACAAATTTGTCACACCAAAGTTATGAAATTTCTTAGCATTACCTCCACACTTCTTCCCAGCAGGGCGGTTGCGAATGTTGCAGCGTTTGGGGATGGTGATGGCGACCCCAGGATTGATTCCAGCCTGCTTGGCCAAGGGGGACAGCAGCACGGCGCAAAGGCACTTGGGAGCCGCCTTGATCAGCCCGCCGACTTTGGAGCAGCACGCCGGCGGCACAGCTGCCCTGGCGTTCCGAGCAGCGCTCAAGCACGGGCTCAGGCTTGCCGCTGCAGCCCCTATTGGTGTCTTCCCGCAGGCACTGCCGCCTCTGCCACCACCTCGACGTCCCGCCGCTTCAACGTTGATCATTATGTCAGCGTTGGAAAGGAACAGAAGGGAGAGTATGGCAGCGGCAGCAAGCAGTGGCGGAGCCAGGATTTCAAACTACCCCTGTCCTTTATTCAGGATATATAATATTTTATAAATATAATCAAAATTAATAATATCTTAATAATTCATTCACAGAAAAACAAAAAACGGACTAATACAATTATTGTTTCATAAATAACTAGGATGAGTTTTCATATTATGAAAAAAATATAAAATACATTCATTATTTACACCATAATATCGTGATAATACCTAACAAACTGTTGTAAAATGATAATATCATGTAATTTAATTATTTTTTGTGAATTAATGAACAAGTAATGAGTTATGTTGTAATGTTAAAATATCCTTAAATTACCTGTAAGTGATTAATTCGATATGTACAAATATATGTGGGGTTATTTTTTTCCCTCCCAAAAGTTGCCCCTGTCCCGGGACAGGGGCAAACACCCCTGCCTCCGCCTCTGGCAGCAAGCCAATTCGCTCTAGCGGCGGCCATGATTAGTATGTAAGTAAGCAGTAATTTGAATGGTGTGTGGTATTCTGAAGTGAAGAGATTAGGTAATGGAGTAGTAGTAGTGCAGAACTGTGTGTGCTTAGCTAGTTGGGAGGGTGGGTGCATATATATATAGTAGTGGAAGGATCACTCACTGAAGTGTGAACTCGTAACAGCAATTATGGTTCCTGCTAATTAATTATTCCTCTGGTATAGATTACCGACATCACCATCATTTCACCCACGCAGGCTTACCATATTTGAGTGATTTCGTATTTGCTTTGGAGAGATCCTGGAGCTCTTGTAGCGTTTATGAGTTCCTTAAGAGTAGCTATTTGGCTTTTGAAGTGTGAAGTCGGTTGGTTGAATGTTGGTAGGGTAAAATTTACAATTTGTTGAACAAATACAGTGTTTTTCGTTTGACACTTTTTGATGTATTTGAGTGCACTTATACACATACAAAAATAGCATTTGGAAACTTCATAAAATTGAGCCTCACGTTACACGTTATTCTTCATTGTTCTGACACAATTTTTCGATATAAAATGCACTGAAGTAAATATTGTTTTTGCGAATAGCCAAATATATATAATCATGTCATTCAACAAATAACATAAATTTACGAATCCAAATCCACCTATAGCTTATTTAAAGAAGAGTTCACTTGTCACTAATGTACCACCATGTATGAACGCAAGAACAGGGGGATGGCTGGCCTGGCTAGTGGGGTGGGTGGTTGTACGTCTGGGAGAAAAAGCTGAGACCATAGTGGAATCCTCCCATCATTTCATTGCGCAATTACTCTTCACTTGAAGATGCAGTTTTGACACGGGTCGTAGTAATGCAGAACCATGATTTGGTTGGTTGGTATTTCTGATGACTAATCAACAAACTAGCTGCACCAGCTGCTTCCATTGGTTCGTAGGATACCGTTATATACAAGCATCTGCCTATCTGAGATCGTGTCTTTGAGCTGCGTTTGCTCACTGTCGACAGGCAAACAAGTTCTGTGGGAATACCTCATCATGACTCAATTCAGTCCTAGTCCTTTTCTTCATCACTAGGACGGAGAACTGTCCACCAATAACTGGTTTAGTGAAATCGAACTCATCCAAGTAGCTCAAATTGCTGAGAAACCACAAAGTTCAAGACAGCACCAGCTCGTGCATCCCAACTCTTCGCCTTCTCAATGGCGGTTTTGATCGTTGCCGAGTATCTGCACCAATCCACAACCCCAATGTACCACGCCAAGCAATTGATCGCAACGCCAATATGTCAATCATGTACGGATCATTCATAGTTTCATACCCTCCCCACTATCCACGACGTCTCCTCACGGCGACCCAATGCATCCTGCAACATCATATTCCACATTGCGTCATGAGACCCTTTCTGCGAGACAGAGATGAGGCCTAAACATTCTCTACGGTGCATGAACATAAAACAATTCTTTAACACATGAAAGCTGGGTACACTTTTTCACCCAAATTTGCTACTACTGTTTCATTCCTTGGCGTTTGGTGGAAGCCGATTGGAGGAGCTTCCTCATCTGACTTCCTTCTGGCCCAATAGAAGAACTACCTCAACTCACTTCCTTCCACAACCTATTTTTTCTGTACCTAACGCTTTCCTGCCTTTTGTTCAAGCTTGCCCTACAATTCGCAGTGACACCTCTCGCCCATACCTCGCTACAGTGGACTGTACCACTCTCTCGCTACTTCCCCCCCCCCCCCCCCCAAATCAAGCAATGGCCGAATAGTCTTCCAATCGTGTCCGTCTTCTCGCCGCCCCGTTCTGCTTTTCCATATTTTTCGCTGCTCCATCGATCGCTAGTCCCTGACACAGCCTTCTCCCACACTCTTCCATCTCCAATCATATCTCTCCTCATTTTCTTTCAGCTAATATTATCTTTCTATCTCTTTGCACCATTCGATAAGTCAACCTTTCATCCATATCTCGATTTTCTTAGACTTCCTCTCTCTTTCGACTCCAAAGGAAGAGTCAGAAATCGATGCAGCGGCGGGGAGGACCAGTTGCAACCGGACTCCCTTTTATCTCTCCGAACTTCAGATCAACGTCTTGCCACCGTAGGAAGAGGATCATTTTATCTCTCCGACCTTCAAATCCACATGGGGTCCCTTTTATCTTTGTTTGCATATTGTAGAATCATTGTCGCCGTATGAAAATGCACGAGAAGACTGCTGCGGAGCCGGGTGATGTCCTCGCCATCGACTGATGGAAGAGGGGAAGCCAAGATTTCATTGGAAGAAGGAGGGAAAGTAGACCAAGTGACTTTTAGGTTCAGAATTCGGAGTGTGGGTTTCAGGATAGGAATGAAAGAACCAAGTGTGGGTTTGTTCGGGTTAGTTATCCGCGTTCTTTCGCTTCTTCTTCCTTCTAATCTTCTATTTTCTTTCCTTTATTTAATATCCTAACCAAATATATTTCCTATGGGCAAGGTCGAGAAGGCGATGGAGGCGTCTGTGCTGATTCCAGTGTTGGAGAAGGAGTCTCCAAGAAGGTCAGCGTGGGGATCAACTGATCGGGCAAGGTGGAGACTGACGGGCTGCTTCTCCTCTTTTTTTTCTTCTTCCTTCCTGTGTTGTTTCCCCCTTCCATCTCAGCGATTTCTCATTTCTTTTCCTTGACGACAGTGATGATGATGATGAAGAATGCGAGATTCGGAACGTAGACAAGGCCAGAGGTCGAGAGGACGAGGATGCGGAACAGGATAACGGCGACGACGTCTCAACCCTAACTGCTGCAGAAGTCGTGTCAGTTGACTATTGAGCCCCCTTATCCTGTGCACTGGTTGGTGCTTCTCTCATAAGGGGAATCCACTAGGTTTGTTTCCCCTATCATCCATTTTTTGTGCAGGATGCTTATCTACTTTGGAAGTCTAGGAAAGTTGCACTTGATATATATGTGTTGAGTTTTCATAAAGTATGCTGCCTTCGCATTAGTAACATTATCATCTCCATATCATCAGTGATGTGTCTCAAATTCCTCAGTTGCTGAATAGATCCATTGCAAGGTCCTGCTCATGCTTTGAGCTTGAGAATGTTTTTGTGCCCCAGAATTATGATACTGGGTTTGAATCTGTGTTAGAAACACATGTTTTTTTCTATTAAAATGCCATATTCTTTATTCTTAAAACAAACTGGCTTTGTGCAGGTAGCCTTAGGATTTTGCTTCTGTGAAGTTCATACGCAAAAGGGAACTGTATGATTTGAGATGGTTCAGCCGGAGTTCATGACAGTGGGAAAGCAGACTGATGCAGGTAGTGTGGATTTCATGCTGGGTTTATGTAGGATATGTGATAATTTCCTTGGGGCTTCAAAGATTGCTCAGGCTGAAATGACTCAAACTCTCCAATTTTTGTTTATGTAGTTAATAGAATGCAGTGGTTTCTTTGTATGATTCATGTACCTCGACTAGGTTTTAACTGTACTGAGTTATCTGTTGCTCTTATTTTATGACGGAACTCTGAAATACACTGATCTAATTTGATTACTTGCCCATTAAGCTACCAGCTAAATTAATGGAAGTTACTCGGTGCAAATCAAGATGACTTTCTCCCTCCTGCTATTTTTCTGTGGTGTTTCTGATTGTTACTTTAGTATAACCTATGGAATATTGCAAACTCGATTGTTAAGCCAGATTAAAACTATGGTATGGAGAATAAATAATTGAAATTATGGTGCTATTTTGTATAATGTTCTTGATTCAAGATCAAGATCAGAACAAAATGTATATGGAAGCATGGTGGGAGTGGAGTAGTCTTAGGCTTGAGTGTATATTTAGCCACTTTAGAGTTTAGAACCAGCTAACCTGAGATAGCCGCTTCTGCTAATCCTTGCTTTGTCTCTCACTTTTTGGATTCCATGGCGACTTGCATGGGGATATGGACTCAGGACTCGGATACATATATGGGTTGTTCAAACCGCAAATCCCCAAGGAGGGCCAACAGGAGCTGCTGAAGATTGGCTCAAGGTTTGTCCACTCAAATAGAATAAACAGTTAAAACTTTGCCACTGTCATCAATGCATTGTTTAAACCTGTTATCTTATTGCCATTTGTGCATACATTCAGTCACCGAATACTAGAATTCCTTCACCCATAGAAACCATGACAAATTTTGAGAATTGGACATTATGCTTGCAAATGCTATATGTTTTCGTTCCATGTTTGGAATGAAATCTGTCTTCTTTATGTCAATCCCTTCTGCATACTTGGACAATCGAATCGGTTACATTATAGCCATGTGTTGTTGATTCTGGATTGTGTTTGTGTACCCTCTGTGTTTGCATAATTTACAACGTGACACATAAGATCTCATTTCTATCCCATTTATATGTCTTACAAGGTGTTGTCGCTTTTTGTTTTTGGAATCACTTACGGAGTTCGAATGCGTTGTTCTTAGGAGAATGCTGCTGATTGCTGTTGTGTAGGAAAGTATATGCTTCTTTGTAACAATAATCTAGATATTGTACACACTACTTTATATCTTGGAATTCTATGGTTTGTGGGTGCGATTCAAATAGTAGGTTCAGTGAAGCTTTGGAAAGTTCAGTTGATATGTTGGAAGAGGATTTTTTGGCTGCTCACAAGTCATTTCTCTTTCTTCTGTGTCAGGCTGCTGTTGTGACAATAGTCATTTCTATTCCTTCTGTGTCAGGCTGCGTTTGAGTAAAGGTGATGCTACGTGGTGTTTCTTGATGGGTGAGCTTAGTGTGGGTAGAGAAGTAGTTAGTTGGTATGTTGATTTTTTCAATATTTTTATGATTCTAGGTTAGTGCAAATCATAATATAATCTTCATGAACAATATCCTGGCCGAGGACTTCAGGTCCTGGACACAACCTCTTTTTGGAAGTATGATAGTTGTGTAACTTTCGGATCTGGACAATTACGCATTTGAGTTTTACATGCCATGTCAGAAGTAGCCTTCTTACTGAAGGTCTTACAGCTTTCATGTCATAAAGTTTCAACAATTAGAGCAAGAGCTTTGGTTCAGACATTCATTTCTCTACTGTTGAAGAGAGCTTTAGATTTCTCCTATCTTAATTGGTAGTTTCCTTTGTACTAGGCTAGATAGTGGTTGGTTTTCATATTTATCTTTCGTTTCTAAGTTATATATGCAAGCAATGAGTATTGTTAAAATTTCAATCTCAGTCCAGAGTACAGTTAAAGTTTCACTTGATGACTTGAAGAAAGCATTCTGTCGAACTTATCCAGAAAATTCAAGAAGTATTATGCTGAAGTTCAGAAGAGTTGGTACCATCTCTTCTCCATTTGTTGAAGGAACTTGAACACGAGAAAATGCTATTGTCATTGAGTTTTGGAATAATAATGGAAGGGAGTGTTTTGTCCATGTTTTGTAGTTTTATTTCCTTCCCATAGTAATTCTAAAAGATATTAAACACGACTAACCATTGATTAACTACTCTCTGCGGCATAACCGCAGGTGTTGATTCTATTGACTATGGAACTCGATATGCGATGGTTTGCCAACTACAGTTTCAATATTGTGAAAATCAGACCACTGACAAGAATAAAACAAACTCATTTGTTGGGAACTCAGTTTACCATCAACTTAACTGCCCGCCATATGATTATGCTAATGCAAATTTAGTTCCCGTGGCGTAGCCGCGGGTATTGATTCTAGTAATGCCTAAACACTAAAGACATCACAACATACCAACCAAACTTGGGAGTGATAATCTGAACATGCTATTGTTGGAAAAGATCAATCCTAACCAAGCTTAGAGATCTAGTTCTATTTCATTGCCATACTGTAGAAAGTAAAATGTAAGTAGATTTTTGGCTTCTCCATGCATCTTTCAGATAATGAGTACCAAAGAAAAGATCATAAAATAGCATTGTATCACCATCATATTTCTTCTCTTGATATCTCAATTTAACAAACATAAAATTAAAGCACTTAGCCGTAACACTCACCTAAAGCCTTTGTTACAGGAAAAGTAGGAAGCAAAGACAAGAATTAGTTACGGAAGAATCTGAAGGAAAAAAGATGAGTTGTATCATCACTTTCTTCAGAGGAAGTGTGAGATAAATGTGCAGAAAGGTCAAGAAATAGGTAAATAATAACCAGGATATTAAAAAATAAAGTCATGAAACTTATGTACAGTGGAGAATAACACAGAATCCCGACATTAGCCTATATGTTAGTAAATCCCACACAACATCAGCAGTTGAGAGTTTAAGATTAACGGACATAAAATTCATTCTTCTAAAAACCCTAAATTAGATCAGCAAATCTCCGATCCACTTTGTTTAAGTTCAATTCCACTAAAAAAACAACATTTACACCTAAATAAAAATCATAGAATATGCTGAGCACCGGCCTAATGTATATAATAAAGTCTTTAAGGATTCATCTGTTAAATAGAGTGAGCATACACGATGACCATATGCTCCCCAAGTTGAGATTTCAACGAATTAAAGATGACTGAAAGCATTTCTTTAGACACTTTTAGTTAGATTGATAAAGATTAGTAGTTAAACAGGATAAAAGAACTTACTTCTGGTTTAGACTTTAGAATATGTCAACTCCTTCATCTTTACTCACGTCTAGAGATGCAGGCAAATGTCATTATTTCACCTATTGTGAACACCCTTCTAGCATAACATCTTTGAGGGCCATTACATTTAACATCAATCAGCTCAATACAAGTGGACATATCAAAAGCAAATAAGCTTCATTCAAACATCTGACTGAAAAGTAAATGATTGCTCCTAGAAATTAGATTACCTGAGTGGCGAGAACCTCTAAAGCGGAGCTGAAATCTGGTTGAAGAGCTTCCACTTAACATACTGCATATAATTCTCAGTAACCCATGAGTACCTGAAGACCAGACCTGGGCCAAACAACCACAGGGTGCTTGGCCAAATTTTTTGGTCCTGGTGCCGATCGCATCCTCGGGGGCCATTGCACCTTTGGCTATATAGTTGATTGAGGTCATGTGAGAGCTCCTTAATGAGACGCTTTCTAGAACATCTCACCCACCCGACCACCAAAGCACATCAAGCATCACCACATCCATAGGCACCCTGCATCCTCCAAATGTGGCTTAGGTGCCCTAACGTCACCCTGGAGCCCAAGGAGCTCCTCCACTTGATGCCAACAACTAACCCCCGATGCCTCAGTCTGCCACTGACTCAGCTCGAGAAACCTATAGTTCTTAGAATAACATAAGAACTAACTTGGGAAATCAAGCAAGATATTAACCACCACAAAAATATGGCATTCCCACTTTCCGGAAAACATTTCTGAAATCTCGTCTTTGTTTCCGTGGAAGTTGCCCGTTCAACATACAAGAACCTTCAAACAAAGAAGACAAATAAAAGAACAATACACGCAAGGGACCTCAGTAAAATGTACACATAAGAAAGAAGTAATGCATTAGACTAGACTTAGTGTATATCACATGATCAAGAATACTTGTATCTAACTGGCTTACTTACTATTTCCACAAGAGTAACAAACAGGTTTTGACAGCAGCATCCAGGCTTCCCTCCTCAACTTGGTTATGTAAGGTAAATGCTCCTTGGAGAATCTACACTGCTGTAGCCTGGAGTCTTCTTCAACTTTCTATGGGTCATCAAGTTTCTGATCTTGCAATTCTTGTGCCATAGGCCAGCTGTAGCATATATATTCCCCAAAACTGTATAATTGACTGAAATGTCAGGATTCAGATTGATGAGATGCATTGCTGCAGTCTCAGCAAGGACGACGTTACCATATGATAAGCATCCCCCGAGAATGGCACCCCACAATGAGGAATTCGGTGTAATATTGTTCCTACAAATTGTACTGTATGCTTCTTCCAACTGCCCTACACGGGCAAAGAGATCAACCATACAAGAGTAGTGCTCAGCTCGCGGTAGGATATTGTGTCTGTTGATCATACTATTAAAGAATTCTGATGCTTCCTTATTTAATCCAGAATGACTGCAAGCAAAGAGACCAGACAAAAAAGTAATGTCGTTCGGCACTAAACCTTCATCTTCCATCTCCTTACACAATGAAATTGCCTTGCTTCCATATCCATGTTTTCCATACCCACTAATCAGCGATGTCCATGAAATGACATTTTTCTCCTTCATCTCACCAAAAGCACGGTCCGCATCTTCAATTTCTCCCGACTTTGCATACATATCAATGAGAGAATTTCCTACAGCCACATCATAACTGGGTTTATTTTTAATAGCAAAGGCATGAAGCTGTCTACCTATTGTTAATGATGCTGCATTAGCACACATATTGAGCACCGAGCACAGCATGACGTCATCCATTTTCATATGCTGCATCCTACACATCTCTTTGAATAGATTCATAGCCTCTGTTCTATAGTTGTTTCGAGCGAATCCATTCATCAACGCAGTACAAGATGTTAAATCTTTCACTTCCATAGTCTTGTACAAGCAATTAGCACTCTCTAGACCCCCACATCTTGCATAGGCATCGATAATTGACCCAATCAAATCAAGGTGTCCTTCAAAACCTAGTTTCTCAACGAATCCATGTACCTGACTGACTTTGAGGAAATCACTAGTTCTTCCAGAAACCTTAAAAAGACTCCCCAAAGTGAAGCAATCAGGTAGCAAACCTATTGAATGACAAGTCAGTATAATAGGTTAGATTTGGCTACACACACTAAGCAAAAACCAGCTGACTGGAGTGGAAGGCCATACATTTATATAAAATAGTAAGCAGCACGATTGCAACAAAATCACTGGCAAGTATAGCATTCATACCTTCTGCCATCATGGCACGAAACAGTCGAAAAGAATCATCACCAAGACCCTGAACAGCATATCCACCAATCATTGCATTCCAAGAAACCAAATCTCTGTCAAGCATTGTCTCGAACAAATAACAAGCATCTTCCATCCTTCCACACTTAGAATGCAAATCAATCAATGCACTTTGCACAAACAAATTGCTGACAAACCTACTCTTCTGTACACAACTATGTATTTGCAACCCTCTCTTGAAACATTGCAAACGAGAAGACGCCCTTAACACGCTAGCATAAGTAAACTGATTGGCCTTGACCCCCACTCTATGCATTTCTGAAAACAGCAGCAGAGCATCTTCATAACACTCATTTTTCCCATAACCTGAAATCTGAGCTGTCCAGCACACAACATTCCTTACAGTCATTCTATCAAACACTTCCCGACCAGCTCTGGCATCACCAATCTTTGCATAGAAGATGATTAATTTGGTGTTTAAATGAGGATTTGAGACAAACCCACTTGTTATCATATGAGAGTGAGCCAAAAGGCCATGCTTTCTAGCTCCTCGCAGGATGCAACGTTGCAAAAGTTTGTCATAGTCAAAGGAGCCAGCAACTTGCTGGAGCAAACGTCCCGTGCAAAAACAACGCACATTCATTGGCTTCAAAGCTCCAAAGTGGTGTGCGTCTAAAAGGAAGCTGACTACTTTCATCAGCAAAATCATCCTCCTAGTCCTTTAGACTAAACCAGAAACCGGGCAGAGACGAGTCAGCAGAGTAGGGGAAAATTGAAGACAGAATCTAACAAACAAGTAATCATAGATAGAAAGGTTTTTCAGTTCAAGTGCACCTGGAGAGAAAAGTCGATTGCTTTTCCACTTGAGGCAAACTCTGTCTCCATGCAAAATCATGAAAGCCTCAGTCTCTCATGAATTTCATCAAACAGGCTTGGAAGCACATACGTACTAAAGGCAAAGCTTAGTACCTAAAAGCAATTAGGAAGGGAGAGGAGTGGATACAAGATCAGGCTTGAAGATGTTATGGACGATGGAGGCGCCAAAGAGAAGGGAAATTATGACGACACCACATGACCTCGCAAGTGACTCGAATTTCTTCCCCATTCTCTCCCTCGGCAATCCACCCATTGAAGATTAAAAAAACACTTATTTACAATTTCCGACAATAGCTCACTTCGCCGGATTCGGAATCTGATCCGATTGGATGATTGGCAGCCGGAGCTGGTAGGGTCGTCGGTGGATATATGGAGACTGGTCTGGCGGCCGGAGAAGATGATGGATTCGACGCCGGAGGCCGGATGCGCTCCCAATGACTGAGATCGGCCCATACAGTAAGAAAGATATTAGACATTACCAGTACCACTGGACTGAGAACGGCCCACTAGAACAACCCAAGCAAGATATCTAGCCCATATTTTCCCTTTGATCTGTATTGATTAAAATGGGCTCAGGCCTGTAACATCCCCCAACACAAGCCCAGAACATCGTCCAAGCTCCAAACCATCGACTTTTAGTCTTCCTCCCTTCCCCTCTCTCCTTTCCTCCGTTCTTCGTCAACATCGCAATCCCTACTCTGCAGATGGCGGGAGACAGCAAGGTTTCATCAACCCGAAAATCGACCGCCGAAACGCCTTCCTCCAGCCCGTTCTAGCTCACGCCCTAGCTAATCAACAGTAAAGAAACACCGGAAAAAGGTTCAGGGCGTTGGCGGTTTCAAGTTTCAACCTTTCGGGTTTTGCAGATAACCCTTTGTAGAAAAGGTAATTTCCCACTCTTATGTACTACTTGCAGAATTGAGAAGCTAGGGATGTCGATAGTTCATGGTATCACCAGTTGGTTAGGAGTTAATTGTTTGCATTTTTGCTAAGAATATATATAGGCAGTGAAAGGATGGCGCGGGTGCGTGAAACGAGTGTCGATAGAATTACCAACCTTCCCGTGGACGTGCTAAATCGGATTCTGGTGTTGTTACCCATCAAAGACGCTGCCAAAACTAGTATATTGTCAACAAAGTGGAGGCATCAATGGAGAAGTATCCCCGAACTTGTGTTTGATGGTAGCTTCCCCGTTGGACCGGGTGGATCTACATCAACTTCCATGATGAACAAGACAATGTTCAACATTTTCAAAGCTCTGCTGCTCCATGACGGTCCAATAAAGAAGTTTGTGATTGCGTTCCCCGGATTAAGGTCATGCTACGGGAATGCGATTGATGAAATCGTTCTCTATCTTTCTCAAAGACATCTCGAGGAGTTCGCGCTTCCCTGTGCTGCTGGTGATGGTCAGAAGTACAAGTTACATTCTTCCTTGTTTACTTGTCTTCAACTGAACATGCTGAGACTTAGGCATTGCGAACTTGGACAACCATCGTGGTTTGTGGGTTTTGGTAAGCTTATGTCTCTCGTGTTGATGAGTGTAACGCTGCCCTCTGATTTCTGTGAGAATTTCCTTCTCAAGTGCCCGATGCTTAAAAGGTTGAGGGTTACGGATTGTGATGGTCCGAGTAATCTTGAAATCGTGGCTCCACGTCTGGTATGGTTCCGTTTCTCGTATAGGGATCCACAGAAAATATGCTTCAAGTGTACTCCTCTTTTAGTTTGTCTTAGACTATGCTGGAACTTCGAGAAGACTGCAGATATGGTAGCTTTGCTTGCTTCTCTCCCAGCACTCAAAGAATTTCATGTCGACTTTGGACTCCCACAAGTAAGTTTGTTTGTCTGTTCTCCCACTTATATAACCTTTTCTCCATTATTTCGGTTTCTTTCTGGTACTCATTTGGATTTGGGTTTGTCTCTGAATTAGAACATTGCTGTAGGTGTTAGTGATGTCCCCAGTAGGCTTCCTGCTCCTCTTCACCGGTTAAAACGCCTCCATACCTGGGATCTTGACTTTAGAAGCTTGGAGACGGCGCGTTTTTTTGTTTGTCTGATCATCAGTTCCCCCAACTTGCGTGAGCTAACAATTAAGGTTAGTTTCTGTTGCCGGCTACAGAGAAGTTCTATATATATGGGCAAATCATGGTCTTTGGCCTAACTTGAGTACATGACAAATGCTCGTGTAGCTGCACAGAAGCAAGCCAAGTCAGCCCGCCGCAAATAGGGATGCGACGACAACAAGCATAGGAAGCCTGTTGGAAGCGGAGTACCGCCATGGATCCGGTGATTGTTTACTGCAGAAGCTTAGAGTGTTCAGAATCGAGAAATGCCTTGGTACGCAGGTCGAGCTCGACCTCGTGAAGTTCGTGTTAGCCACCGCTCCAGTACTCGAGAGGATTCACATTCCGCCTTTGCGTAAGTTAAGCTCTGGAAAGGTTATCGAGTTCATGAAGGAGATAATGAAATATAAGCGTCTTTCTAAAGAAGCCATGGTTATATATAAATCAAAATGACAGAGTTGTAGTAATGCAGCACCCGGGTCATTAGCCTAATGTTCTCAGGTGGTTTTTTTTTTTTTAATGTAATGTTCTAGCTTAATGTGGTTTGGATATTCGTTGTCTCGACGCTATGAAGCCAATTATTATGATGTAGTATGATATATTATATTTAGGTGATGCTATGAGATACCGGATTTCCCCCTAATTACACTAGTTCTTAAAAAAATTTCCCAAAAACAGTAGGTTTTTATAAAAATTCTTAAAAAACACATGTTTTGAGCAAATCGCTTGAGACAAAAGTGATCTATCCATTAATCGTTTATGACAAACACGATCAAAAGTAAATCGATTCTAACAAAAGCGATCATGAGTTGATCGCCTCTGAGTTAAGCGATCTATGGTTGCTGGTCATTGTCAGTTTCTTCTCTTCATCTCTCCATTCTAATATCATATAATAAATCCGAATTTGAGATCTATAGGTTAAAATCTATTAGTTGTTGAGTGGCACTGATCCATTGTGGAATATGTTTGTAAGATGAGCCCTTATTGGGTGATTAGTGACCATTCATTAAAGCCATATAAGGAAACGATGACTTAGGGGTCGTTGGCTTGTTGGATTTGAAAAATGAGGGTTTTGGGCCTTTTGGCTCAAAAAAACCTTTGCATTTATGAGGGATTTGTACCATCATGGATTTGAAGAGTCTATTGTTTGCATGATAGATTTGATGATATAATTATGATGGATTTGCTATAAATATAACTAGCTATCAAGGATTTACAAATCCCACCCCATTATATGTGGGATTTACAAGTCAGTGGGGTCCACAGATTTGGACCCAAAAAAGGGAAACAAATCCGTAGACCCCACAAATTTAACACCTGACAACAAACAATGGATTTGGCTAAAATTCATCATGCTTTGGATTTGAGTACCAAATCTATCAAACAATCTTCCGCTATCGTTGGCGAAGCCCTCGGTTTTATCTTAGCCAACGAGCTATTACACTGCATTAATCCTGAACCTAATTTTGGGTTTTGGACAAACACCAAAACCTTGGTAAATTAGAATGTTTTGGCCGGACCACTTTTGATATCTCCACCTTCGTAAAGTCAAAAGCATTACATAAACAAATAAATTAATTACCTCTTTTGATCCAAATATACTGGTTTCTGTCCTTACATTTTTGGATCCTTTACCAATACTATAAATAAATTCTCAATTTATCATTCATAACCAATAGCTGGGAAGAAAAACCAAATTATATTTCCTAACTAATTTGCTTTGGTGTAGTCTATAGCTATCAGTTCATTTAATTCAATACCACATTGACTAAATTTGTATGGTCATTTTTCATACTCTTACATTTAGAGGTACGAATGCATATAGTTTAGGATAAGAAATACAACCTCTCTTAATTTTTTGTCTTGGATAATTATAATATGAACATACATAAAATTTGTATTGTCATTCGTCGTACGCTTAGATTTAGAGGTGCATTTACGTTTAATTTAGGAGAAGAAATACAACCTCACTTAATATTTGACTTTGGGATAATTATAACATATGTATATGTGTGTTGAGCAAATTTGAAAACTAATACGACGGTAAGATATCAAGTTATCAATACTCTCTTTCGAGATCGATCGATGAGTTGCAGATTCTCTCCACTCTAAAGTTTAATATTGCAACTACTCAAACTTAGACTAGTGGTCAAACCTTATGGACCATAGTAATCTTAGCATGATATAATAAAATAAAAATAATTGTCAAAACACGCATTGAAAACAATGAGGTTATATTGTATTGAATTCCTCCATTATCAAAGTAATATTTCCCTATATATTTCCAAACCACGGCCACAATCAAGGTCATCAAAGAACATTACATCGTATACTAAATACCAATCAACACAACTCCTAAACCAAAATCCCCAAGCAAAAAATAAATCTAAATGGTCGGGAAAGTTCACAACGGGAAACAAAACCCACACAAGTCCTTCCAAGTCAAGAAAGGGAAGCCAACTTTGGTCTCGCCGGCGGCGGAGAACAACAAAGGAAGCGTCTACTTCCTCTCCAACGTCGACGGCGACCTGTCCAAGGTTCTCACCCGCACGCTCTACTGCTTCAAGTCCGGCGGTCCATCCGCCGCAGAGGTGATCAGGAACGCGCTGAGCAAGGTTCTCGTCCACTACTACCCTCTCGCCGGCCGGCTTGTCGTCTCGCCGGAAGGAAGGCTCGCGGTGAGCTGCACCGGCGAGGGGGTTGTGTTCGTGGAGGCCGAGGCGGATTGTGCGCTGGATGACGTGGACTTCTCGAAGCCGGATAAGGCCACACGTGGCAAGCTGGTTCTATATGATGTTCCTGGCGCGAGGAACAAATTCGAGATCCCTCTAATGGCTCAGGTACACAAATTTTGGTCTCCTCTCCGTCACATAACTTTCTCTCCGTACTATACTTTCGGTGGAACAAAAATACACCATATATATTTATATCGGTAATGGAACACAACACTTATAGGTAGTATTAGAGTACTTTGTCACTACAACACAACTCATTACTTGAACAAAATTGACATAAAATTAATTTTATTATACTATAAACGAAATTCCAATTGTAATAAAGACCTAGCCGGGTCTCTTTTTTCCTTATGCCTATTCGATCTTTTCCCCAATAACCCTAAAATTGTCTAGCAACAACAACAATCCCACTAGTTTTGATCTACCAATTACAACTGCAAGTGTAAAAAGAGCATTTTTTCAGTTTTGAGTTATATTAAGTTTCTAAGTCGATTTGGCGACCAGTTTACTAATACTTATTTAGTAAGATACATT